TGCCTTCTGTTGCTTATCAAAAGTCACGGAAGGATTTGTGTAAAGTTATTTTTTACATTTTTTTTTTTAAAGTTGAGCTCTGTGTTGTGTTGCTGTGGCAAAAAATCACTGCGAATTATGTTAACAAATTCCCCCAAAACGAAGCAAATGTTGACAATGATAATTACGTTTCTCAGGTTCTCTGAGTATAACGACACGAAATGAAAGAGTCATCCGGGATACCCTCGAGAAGATAAGCGGTCAAGAAAATGGATGAATGACGATCATATCAAAATGCTGAAGCAGCAAAGCTCGTGACACGCAATGTTTCAGTCAGCCAATGCAATGTCTGGTTTCCGTTTTCCATCGCTCAAATCTTGACTTGGCATGAGTTTGCGCAACAGATGGGTGGAAAAATGTTTCATGTCATCATTCCCCTAAAGTGATGTCGTTGGAAGAGCAATCAGAAGACACAAAAGATGTCAAACAATAGGGATCAAAATTGGAGCTTTGACTTGTGCAACGGGACTCGAAACATTTGGCGATGCTGCGCCAAACGATGTTTTCGATTAAGTTTGTTCGTTTTGGCAGATGTGCTGTTTGTATCGTGATTCTGATTATTTTTAAGCCTTTATTTGTGACACTCTGTTGGCGTGACTGCTCATTTTATTTATCACTTGCATATAGACTGAAAGACAAGAAACAATTTCGGGGTTGAAGTTTGGAAGTCTAACACTGCTTAATTATTGTTTGTTGTGCCACTAAGCATCTTGAAAAGATTACGCTACCCTTTCACTTTTTTTTTTTTTTTTTTAAATTCTGTCCCCAAGGACACGCATTGTCATCTAATGAAATTAGATGCTTTGATGTCACATACATAACAGGACATTGAAGGTCATCTAAAGTGTTTGGACCAAACCAAAGCTTCATAGTGTAGACAGATCAGAAAAATATTGCCGTAGTGCATTTGTGGCAAAATTGAGCTGCCGTGTGGATCTGGAGTCTGAGCTGATATTTGCTTAAACAGTGGTTAGTACGTCTGCCTCACAGTCAAGCTGTTTTGGGTTCAAATCTTGGCCCCGTGCCCTGGTTGGTTTCTTTTCCTGCACCTCCAGCTTCCATGACGCATTTGATTCAATCAAGACACTAAATTGTCCGCGATGAGAATGCTTCTTTGTACTGTACGTGTGTGAGCAGTCCAGGGTGCAACCATGATCTCCCCCAAAGTCAGTCTGAGTCACCTCCAGCTCACATGCGGCCCAAATGAAGATGAGCCATACAGAAAATGAATAGATGGCGTAACTGTATTGTTCATTGCAATGACAATACTATTTTGGTACAACAACGAGGTTGATTCACAGATAGGGACCTTTTGAAATGGAGTGAGAGCATGAGTCAAGATCAAATCCTATTGACCAATGGTGAAGGTGTAGGACCACATCAGTAGCCTGCGGGTCTTTTCTAATACTAGCTTACCAGTGATGGGACATTGTGATTCCCTAAGAATTTACGGTTGTGCGAAATAAAATCATGTGGTTCCAGATACAATTTTTCCAGTCGACTGTACATCTACTGGAATCTACTAAGTAGACAAGAAGGCTACGACAGATGATTTTTATTTTGTACCGTTACCTGACAAAATAAAATTGAGTATGGCATATTGATATTTCCGTGTCCCATAACTTTTTGAATGATTGTTGCTAATTATTGGGAGATCTCATTAACGTGATTAGTGTCTTCATGAAGATGAATATCAGAATTTATGAACAATGAAATACCGTTAAATCCCGTGAATAACACGCATCTGTATATGATACGCCATATAGTCTCATAAACTCAAGCAAGACAAGTTCACCCTCGCCACCCTCATCCGCCCCTCCCTCCAAAAACAATAAAAAAGCAAATCTGTCGCTCTGAGCTTTTTGCAAGACTGTACAAAAGTTTTATACGCCTCTATTGATGTACATGCCAACATGTCATCATCCGCATATAGCAAGTAGTCATTTTTTCAGAGCGAGCGGAATGCGATTAATTTGCCCTTGTAGCAGTGTGCCCGCGGTAAGCGATTGAGGGGCGGCCACTGAGTGATGTGTTCTTTCATCACAAATATGACCGATAATTCTTACTGTGTCATCACTTGGCATATTTGGGAAAGAGACAGTCAGTTCAGGGCACCTCAATGACTGCTGCTCAGTGTGACGAATTTGCCTGGCAAATGATGTTTTGTTTTTTTGTTTTTTAGAATGGCTTTTTTATGTGAGGTTGTGTAACACCCAAATCACCCCCAGGGAGGATCAGTGAGGTCATCTGTTTACAACGAAAAATTACTGAAAGTTGTCACGTGTGGTGCACTTTGCGATAGTTTTGTTCACTGACAAAACAAATACAGTTTGGATACTATATCGCGGCGCTATATCAATTTATTTTTTAATTGTAAGTAGAAAAGGTCCCCAACAGTAATACGAATAATAGTTTATTATTTCCAGCACATGCTAAGGCTAATTCCGCTTAGTCATTCAATTGCGTTTCACATTATATATTAGCATTAAGCTAGCAGACTTACAACCAACTTACATGGTTTGTTGATTGAACATTTTGGTGTTAGAATATGCGATAGAATATGCGATATAATGTGTAATATGTTTGATTCGAACAGTTTTGCCCAAATTTGGGGCTAACTTCACTTCTAATGGCAGCTTGTTCGATTTGTCTGTAGCATAACAGCTAAATGTTGCTTCACCATGTTGGCTTTGAACTCTGGGCTCCACTAATTGATCCCAGTCTGTCTTTTTAATAAATTGCTACAATGAGTTAAGATGAGTTTCAAGTGTGTGGCTGGGGTAAAATATATAGAAAAATGTTCTCTCTATATCCCAGATTTTTGCCAATTTGAAAACAGTAAAAATGAACAATTTTGTTTGCATGATAAATGGGGGTAGGGTGGGGGGGTCACTTGGGAGATACAGTGAAGTACGCTGCCTTTGACATAAGGCCAAATAAACTTTGACAGAAGAACATGACCTGGGGTTCAAACACTAGCCTTGATCCTTTCTGTGTGAAGTTTACATGTTCTCTGTCTCCCTATGTGGGTTTTACTCCGGGTCATTGTAATTTTTCACCCGTAGCCCCCCCCCCCCCCCCCCCCCCCCACATGTTTCGCCAGGTGGATTGGTAATCATGTTTCCATCCAGAATGTTTCTCCCCCACTCTCCCAGATAGAGGCAGTCTAGGGAACGTCACGTTAGGCGTTTTTGCGACCTTTATTGGTTGCATCTTTTGTGCAATTTTCCTCTTAGAAGCGTCGGGTTGCTTTTACAATGTTTTCATGTTCCTGACTGATCTTTTTATGGGTGTTTTTTATTTTTTTTTTACAAGCCAGTGCACCAGTCAGAGGTGCGGTGTGAGCGGCGATGAGGTGGTTGTCATTATCTGGTCGACAACGTGTTTGCGTTTCTGTCTGAATTATAATGCTTTCATTGTTGTGGTTAGCATTCTTTGTTGATTAGCCGGGATAAATCACGCTTCTTTTTGTGCAAAATCCGCCGAATATTTGGAAGACGGCTGATGTGTCTTTCCGCATGTAACAAATGTGATCTTGTGACATCTCGTCCCGATGGCGGAGAGCGCACTTCGCGGGTCCAACTGAATCCGCTCCAAACGCGCTTTCCAGCTGTTGGGATTTGATTTATTGTACTTGCACAGGACCCGCGGTCGGAAATTCTCCGCGTCCCACCAGCAAACCGACACAAACCGCTCAGGTGCTCACAGCACCTGAGAGCAGGTCAACAGCCGCCGTCACGTGTCAAAATACAGCACGCCGCGCGCCTCTCTCATGCCTGATCCTGCCGCCCTTCGCCGCTTCCTCCTCTTCCTCTCAGCACTCCCTTTCTGCCTTCAAACGGCGCAGCTCTCGTCCTGATTAGCAGCCTTCACCTAGAACATATTCTGTCTATTCAGCCAGGGGGGATTAAGTGCAGATACATGACATTTCAGGCCATTCCAAGCGTCTGAGTCAGCGCATAAACAACTCCTACGCAATGTCAGGGAAATATTTATCTTTGCTCGTACAACTTCTCGAGATAGCGTCAACACTGCTGAGAGACACAATTACGCTCGTGGATGGGTTATCGAGAATAAGAGCCCTCGTGGAAAGTATCCTGTGTGGAAAGAAAAGTGTACCCCACTCAACCGATGAGATACAAGTGACGCCTGTCGCCCAACTGTAGATAGCAACCTCCTGCATCTGCCTTGTAGGCGTGTTTCGTGCAGTCTTCAGAAAGACATTCAGGAAAATGCGGGAGCATCGTTTGGCGTTGCACTTACATCGAGGAACTAGGTCAACTTTTGTCTCGCATATTCCAACCATGACACACATAGCATAACCCAAAATGTATTCAAACTCTGCACTGTCCCATTAAGCGAAAACTCAAAAAATGTGTTTGTCTGAAGTTGTGATTGATGGAGATTTTGTGACCAATCTATGCAAAAAATAAATTATATTCAGGAAATTATACAAAGGATAGCCTACTTCTTTTAACCGTGAAAAGTTGTCATGATGATCAAAATGTTTTCCTGGGAGCACCAGAGGTACGCGAAAGAATCACAGAGTGCAGTTCAGTTGTATTTAACTTTTATGTTTAATGCATTTCAATGAATTTGGCAATAGGCAAAAGATTTATTTCAATTAATTTGACTTGTTTGATGAATTTAAAGAAATATATCTTGAAGCGCATTACTGTATTACCGAATTATTTTAATTATTTCATTTTTAGGCTGTTGCATATTTTGATATTCAGTGGGACAGAATTCAGACAACCGATTCTATTTATCTATTTTTATTATATTATTTTAAAAAATACGTGTAATGAATAAAATAAATTCCCAATTTATAACAATAAAGATCATGACACGACATACAGGCAGTTTAAGAATACTTTTTCTTGAGCTTTTTTTTTTTGGGGGGTTAAATTTGTTACACTGAATGACAATAATTTCATTTGTTTTTCCTCTCTTCTCCCCAGTAACCACCACGCTATCTCCAGGCTCAGGCCACGCTAGAAGATGCAATGACACAGAGAAGGCCTTCTGTGTGAATGGCGGCGACTGTTACTTCATACATGGTATAAACCGGCTTTCTTGCAAGTAAGTTATCTATTGTTCATCTCTTTTTTTTCTTTTTCTTCATTGTGTGTACCAGTTGAAACGCAGACCCCTTTTCATGACAGCATTTCTAATGTTCTTCATCGCAGCAAGAACCTGCCTTTTCCTGCTGTTTGTGTTGCGGTTTTGTTTTGTTGAGAGCACTTGATTCCGGTTGTTCTTTCTTTCAGCAGCAGCCCGTCAGAGGAAAACGCCGCCTAACTGCCCGCCTGTTGTGTATCGCGGTGCTCGTAACGGAGCGCGGCGTCGGCGTGCTCATCCTTTTAAGTCCCGCTCAGTGTACAACAAGAGGGCTGCGCGTTAAAAGCCCCTTTCAAAATGTCATGAGTCACCGTTTCGACTATGGAGCAAATATTTATGCCTATTCGGGGCCCCCGATGAGGTAAATAGAGTCATTGCTTACATTGAAGGTCCTCGACGAAGGGGATCGTGACACTGCTGCGCAACGGTGCTTGCCGGAAAGGAGTCAGTTGACATTCTCATAAAAAAACAACTTGTTTTTTATTTAACATTGAGCGTCACAACTGAGAGTCATTACTCAGAACTACAGCGGAACCTTTGAGGTGGAACGCATCCCGCGGTTGGGATTTGTCAACTCATTTACATGAGGAAATAATGAAAAGAAACATCACTCATTCCAGGGTGAAGCTGCCACTCACATAAACAGTTTCAAAGTAATATTTAGATCGATTAATATGACAGAGGAAAGGTGGTCAAAAGTGATTCATGATGTCATTTTCAAACGTTAGCCGCCGTAAATATAAAACCAATTTAAAATAAAAAAAAAAAAACTCAACTGTTAAGTTTTGCTTGATGCTGGAGTTTTACTGTTTTGAACGTGCGTATGTGTGCTTCACAGTATCCAGCGTATCCTGTTGATTGGCAGCTCATTCTTTTGGAATTAGTTTTAAAAACAATTGGCGATTCAACGCAGTTGTCTGTAATGTCTCTCTGTCTGTACGTCTGATGGCCTGATGTCTTGGTAGGTGCAAATATGTCATATTTCATGACATGGCAGTTCACGTTTTGTAAAGAAGGACACAAAAAAAGCCAAAGAAAATGCTTGACACCCCTTTTCATGCGTCTTGAGAAACTTTTGACTGACATTGTGCAAAAACACTGCTTTTATTTTCCAACTCCACTGTACAATTTCACTTCATCCATCCGAAAATTAACATCTAGTAATTAGAAATATGTTGTTGTTCCTCTATCTACGCTCGCGACGTATCGTGACGGGCTTCTGCGATATTAACAGAACAATAAACCTGTGCACCCAACTGTTGCCAGTCAAGGCTTCCAGCTTTGATTTCGAGTAAAACAGGCCCAGATTTCACACGAAATATATTGAGTCAAGAAACACGGCTTTAAAGATTCCATTCTAACCTGCTCCCTCTCGCCCCCTTTTTTTTTCAGTCCATTCAATATCCAATCCAACCACTGCGGTCATCCGCTCCAGCTAATAAAATCCATTCTTGTACAGTACTTGCAACACAAACTACGCATTCCCTCCTGTCATGGCTGTTAAATATCGGGTTGCACGCTCCGTTGGAGCATATGTCACTCGATCGCAACGACTTAGGCCAGTGCGATGCCGGAGCGGCAAAAATTGGCGCAGCTTCAGCGCCCAGTTGGCCCCCGCGAAGGAAGACTGCTCGACGAGCAATGCGGATATGGCCGCAACAGCCGTTCAATACGCTATGTACAAATTGGAGGCAGCAATAACTCAATTGCTGTGGCTAATTCACTCACGGCCCCGGGGCATGGCTCCAGAAGAGCTGGATAATGCAGTGAAGGCCCGCGGGGGATTTATCCCCCCCCCCCCACCAGCACAGCCATCTCATTCAATATAGGCCAGGCATCAGTGGGTATTACTCAGCGGCTAAACAAGTGGTGCAGACAGCTCAGCCTGCGTTGATGCCCGACTCATTCACTCTTGCGAGCAAACTTTTTTTCAAAGGGGGAGCAAAGGTTAAGACGTGATGCACGAGCAACCATTGTTGAAGTCGTTTTCACCTTACGAATGGAGTGCGAGTCGGAATCGAGCCTGGTTTGGCATCACGATCAATGGCGGACGCTCACCGGACGCTTCGTTATGGAACTCCTACACTGTGCGTTACAGTATATGATAAAATAAATGACGGCATCTATGGTAAGGGTAATATTTATTATTTGTTTGTGAGTCATAATAATAATAATAATCATAATAAAAGCTTTAACCCTTTCAGGGACAGCGGTTACGACAGTGGACAGCTTATCATGTGATCGGCTTACATCGGGTGCATGAAAGGGTTAATGGCAAAAATGCTGAGAACGACAGCTCACGCCTTCGAGATCAGTTGTGGTTGGCATGAGTCTCTAATTTAACATTATTGATTACGGTGATTGTCGTACTGCACTACAATACAGTACACACACACACACACACACACACACACACACATATATATATAAGTATGTATACATACACACTAATTGGTCTGTTTATGTTTTTGAACTTGCGCCTATCCCTTTTTTGCTCAACACACAATAAATCTCCCCGTAAGATTTATAGGTGCTTTTGTGTAAGCCGTTACAACCAAAAGTGTGATCATAGACAACGCAGCTGCAATATTTATTAGATTTTCCAGTTCCAGTTCGGCCATTTTTACGCCAACTTCCCGTCATCTCATCAGTCAGGGTGAATAATTAAATGTTGAACATGATGTTTCTCCCGGGAGGCGTTGTGTGAAACCAGTAAATCGCTCGCCAGTGACCTTTAGTTGGACCGCCGGTCTCGTCGTGAATCCAAGCGGAATGTCGGTGCTCCTAAAAGAGCAACCGCTCATCCTAACGGGACTTTAATGAGGAAAGATGGCTCGGGCCGAACAGACTCGGTGGTGGTGATGAAACGTGGAGTTTTTTTTGACGTGTATCCGAATGTCCAAAAAAAAAAAAAAAAAAAAGGCACTTAACATGCATGCAAATAGCGTTCAACGCTTTAGAATTTCCTTTGGGAACGTTTCCATGTTTCAATATTTTGCCTGAGCTTGAAATCCGGCCGCTTTTAAAATTGATCACAGAACGCAACCTTTAAGCCTTGAGCAGATACCAAGAGAGTAATCGGCATTAGCCCTCATTACATTTTGCTGCACAGGCTTCCAATTGATGTATTGATGAGCACCAAAGTGCTGCAATGAGCTCTCTCTTCTCCCTCTGCCCTTTCGGCCCAAAAGAGACTGGGCTTATATCTTTACGAATGATTTCGGACAAGTCTCCATCACCTGTTGTATCATAATTTGATGGAATATTATTGACCTTTTACATCCGCCAAGAAGGTGCTTCTAGTTTCTTATTAGCGTGCAACTTCCCGGTGAGGCTTTTATTTATATCCTAACGAGAGTCTTCCATTGATGTAGACGTTTGTTTGTTTGCCTTTTTTTTTTTTATTCCCACACATTGGGGAATATATATATATATATATATATATAAAATTGTATTTGTTTTTTTCAAGCCCATGTTTTCAATTTTGAATGACATTTTGCGAGTTTGTTGTCAAGGTAAGGTGATCTAGTAGGAATTTGGCAGCCAACCTGGAAAATCCAGCCTTGAAATCTCTGTCAAATTGCATCACATCAGTTTGAATATGTTGTGTTTATGTGCTGCAGCGAAAAAGGAGTTCAAGTTTCATCCAGATCCATATTTCCGTTTGGATCGGAGGGAACCAAATGTTAATACCACATTTGCTCACTCACTGAGTTCACAGATGACAAATGTTTCAACTTTGGCAGTTGGTCTGTTTAATGTCATTTTTTTTTTTTTGTCTTGAAGGATGGGATTCATGCTATGGCCGCACAATTTCGCACAGACAGTGGGTCACTTCTGCCATTTGTTTATTTTAATCATGGGTTGAATCATTTAAAAGCGCTTCCTAGTCGTACATCTTATATTTCATAATTGACTTGACTTAATTCATTCTAAAGATCATTTCCATTTTAATGCAAACTAATGTTGTTACATTTGCCTGGCGAGACGCAATTACATAACATCATATGACAGAACAAACTGTCAACAAAGTCAACATTTCATTCCGAACCATGACAACAGTTACATGCAAAACCGATGCAATGGTTGCACATCGCGTACTCGCGAATGGATGTGATTTTTTATTTTTTTTTTCCCCCGCTCCAAGTTCACCTCGCTGTGTTTTCCTGCCCGTAACACTTGTGTGCTCCTTCCCAGATGTCCCGATGGATACTTTGGCCCGCGATGCTCAAAGACCGAACCTCTGAGGTTGCACATGCCCAATCCTTTCAAAAGTATGTTCACCGCCCGGTTCTCTTCTTCTGTCTCCTCTTCTTCCTCCCCCCAACCCCCTCTCAGGTCAACGCGCACTGGGCCGCGCACACTGGTGTCACCCATGGGAAAGCTCTGGCTCTGCCGTCCATTCGTTGAGCTGTTGTTCTAATTTTCTGTCTCTCTCTCTCTCTCTGTCCACACTCTCTGGCTCATCCACCACCCTTCCTCCTCCTCTTCCTCCCTCTCTTTGTGGCTTTCAGGTGTCCGAATGACTTTACCGGTGATCGGTGTCAAACCTACGTTATGGCACGTTTCTACCGTATGTCAACTTCCTCTTCTGTCAGACTCCCTCGAGTCGCACGTGCATGCGTCGACCAGATAGTTTCCGAATTTATAACGCGCCCCCGACAGTTTTGTGTCGTCTGTCCTGACCCATCGATAAGCGGGCCTTGTGCGTTGTGTGTTACGCATGTCATGTCCTGCTTTGTGTTGCGTGTCCATTTCAGAAGAACTGCCCATACTGTTGTTTTTTTTTTTTTTGTTTTGTTTTGTTTTGTTTTTGCAATGTGGCGGCGTAGGCTTTTGCGAATAGTATGCAACTAAAACAACACGCTTTTGGTCCAGTTACTAACAATGCTTGCTTCTGTGTGAAATGGACAGTCTAAAATGCTTCATGTTCAAAAAGACAGTTTAGACCGTCTCCATGTGAAGTGGCAATCATGTGCATGTTTATCGCCGTTCCCACCAAGCATTACAGTCCAGTTTGGTTCGGTGAGCATCTTTTCTTTCTTTGTGTTCCCATTATTATGTACACAAGTCACCCGTGCACCATTTGTCAGACCTACTGCAACATTTTGATGACTTCCACAAAAAAAAAAAAAAAAAAAAAGTCACCGACTTACTTAGAAGAGCAGCAATGAATTGGAAAGCCACCGCATCATATTGCTTTCCAAGGACTCTTACGATGACTTCCATGGTCAAAATACAAAATGCAAACTCAATTTCTTGTTATTTCTGCACCTTACTGAACTGTACCGCTTGGTTGGAAATGTCTTTGTGTTTGTTTGTTTGTTTGTTTGTTTTTTTAACATTAGAACTGATCCAGATGTGGAAAGTCAGGTCAAACATACGATCTCGTTTCAGTTAGCTTTACTTTTGTAAAAAAAAAAAGAAAAAAACATTTTCGTTTATTTCAACACTGGCATGCGCTCGAGAACATTTTACAAGCTGCATTTGATGACTTCACGCGCACAAACACACGCACACACACTCGTACAGATGTTGGACTGTCACACCAGAGACAATAACTGCTCCCTCAGATGTCCTCACACGCCGTATTACCGTTTCCAAGGCCAGTTTTCAACTCTGCATCACTGCGCGCAGCAATAGAAGCTAATATATACATCAAATGGGGGGGTTTATAACATCAGGCGACGATGTTTATCGTCTTCTTTGTAGCTTTTGCCACATTCCAGAAAACTGGGAAGTCTGAAATTTCAGATCTGAGCGTTGCCATGTCGGTTAAAGTCAAGAGTTCCAAGGAGCGGCCTCACCGATTACATAACAACGTTGGCAACATTTTCCAACCGGTCCAAGGTGTACCCGCCTATGAGTCAAAGTTGCCTCGGATCGGCTCCAGTTAATCCGAGGCTCAAATGAGGACGAGCGCGATAGTAAATAGAGGTTGTCTTTTTTGGACATGTCCACTTTTTTGGGACTGTTAGTCTGTTTTGAGTCAGGTTTCTGTTTTCTGCAAGTTGGCTGTGATGTAGCATTCAAATGTCCAAAATGTACTTTGGAACTGACATCTCAGTTTGTTGCTGCCTTCAAAGTTGCTCAAAGCTGACCATTTGTTTGGCATACGCGTGTATGGTTTTCCTTGTGTTGGCTCAAAGTCTTCGTTCGTTCTCACCCGATGCTAAATGTAACGCACTGTGCTTGACGTGCTCTTTTTTTTTTTTTTGGCAGAAGAAAACGCGGTGTGTGGGAGAATGCAGCGCTCTGCGTTCGATTTAACTTTGCTGCAGCTGTGCGACGGTATCAAGGACAGAATTTATCTCTGGTTCTTATCCAGCTGCATGAACACATTCCAGGCTTGAGCAACTTTTTTTTTTCTGCATTAGAGAGAGCCCTTTTTGGAATATAACGAAGCGTTAGCTGTCAATATCATCTTGACAGGAAAAACTGTTGGTTGTCCTTTTTGCATTCAAGACAAAATTTGCCATTGAGAGGACAAAACCCATCCACATTTACGCAACGCCAGCTCACAAACAAAAGCCGCCATTTAATCAATATATTGAAAAGATGACTATTAACCTGTGGCTTTTCAAACATGCTGATCCGCACTAGAAGTCCAGCTCTTGGAATGTCACATTCAAACATGATGGATGTTAGCGATTCGCCTTCCAAGTGAACTTTAAGACACTGTTGATATTTCACCAAATAAATCACGTTTTCTAGCGGCGAGTACACAGCCAACAGGCACACACAGGCACATGCGTGCACGCACATCCATTCCGTGCTTAAAGACCTGCTTCCTGCAGGGCCACCACCCATCCCCGGGAGATACTCTTAGCCCATATCGCAGGAGGATGGCTTCTGCTCCTTTTGGCTTAACAAGAGCCTGTTGTCCTAAGAACAGCTGGGACTTGCTTGGACGCAAAGTTTAGCCGAGCAAGCTGCCAGAGATATGAACACTGCCTTCGACATAACAGTAATTATTCCTATTCACGATGATTATTTCAATTATGGTACGATACGCTTGTTTCAACCTGCCCCTTCAAGCCCGTCCCGTGTTTGGAAACACACAACAAAAAAACAAAAATAAAAACCCTGTTGCGCTTTTTTACTATGCTGAAGAATAGCAGCGCAGGCGAGTAATCTGTGATCTGTAATTTGGCTGTGGAAAATGACGTATTCGGGCCAAGTGGACAATTACCACTTAACATAATCTATTAGATTGCAAATTGAAGAGGAGGATAAAAGATTATAATGATCAGATCTTTGTTTTTGCGTTTTGCATGCTGTCTTTGCAATGCCCCTTTGTTAAATGTTGCTAACAATGCCTGACAGTGACGACGTCAAATCAGGGATCACGTTATTGTGTCTGTTTGCCCCACTATATGTTCGGAGGTTACTCTTTCATAATCTGCTCTTTTGTTTCTCTTTTTGTTGTTGTTGTTGTTGTTTTTCTTCCAACTGTCAACTTTCTGCCATGGCAGATCATCTTGGGATTGAATTTATGGGTATGGAACAATCCATTTTGATTCTCAGTCCTGTATAGATACTAAAAAAAAAAAACAACCCCCAAAAAAAAAATCATTTTGACATGCATCCGTTCCATCTGTGGTGTGAACTGTGAATCATGCCGTCCCCTCAATTAACCAATCAACCCCCCCTCCCCCCTTGACGAAACGTACCCTCACTCGTTAAGAGTGCGGAAAACCCTGCAAGTGATTCTCCCATCAAACCCGATTAACATGGATGTCATCGCCCGCACCTCTCGTACATGTGCGTCGAGTCGGCCGTCTGACTCACATCAGCGCCGAGTCCTTCTTTTGTTTTCCTCATTCCATCTTTAACAAGCATGATATATCATGTTTGTAGCTGCCAGATGCCTTTCAACTCTCGCCTGCGTTCTCTTTGCGTATGCCTTCCTTTTCTCTTTACTTCTAGAGATTTTAGTACTTGCGCCTTGCCTCACTCTGTCATAAGTCGAGCTGAAATTCGCCGATCAAGTATAAGAAGTCTGCGCTGTTTGATTTAGCTTTCAAGGAACGGTTGTTGATATGAGCATGCAGTGCTATATTTAGAGCCTACGGTCATGATTTGCTTCTGTTTGCTGCTATTTCCGTCCTCCTTTTGACAGCTCTCATTTTCATCAAGCTTTTCCAGAAAAGTACTTCAGTGGTTTGAGGGTGAAATGAACACTAGCAAAGTGAATTTCCAAACCATGAGACTGTCCTCTCGTGGGAATTGAGCGGGAAATGGGACATAAGAGTCGAGCATTTTATTCCATTCAAACTCACGTGCACAAAATGCTTTTGTGGCACACTGTGACCAAAAAAAAAAAAAAAGGACGTATATATAGTTTTTTTGAATCAAAGCACTTAATTGTCGTGACATCAAGTTGGGTGAATTTAGATTGAGGAGACATATTGCCTTTTTTAAGAAAGAAGAATGCAGGTTGTCCCAAAATAGTGCGCCGTTGGTTTAAGTGTAATCGAATGTAATTATCAAATGTCATTTAGGATCAGTAAATGTGCAGATTGTTATTTTGAGTGAGTGAGAGAGTCACAGAGAGGACTCAAAGTGCTTCACTTACCGGTAATTAAATTACAGTCATACCTCCGTGTACTCCAAATTCCTCCCACTTTACATATAGAAATAGATGACTGAATACATATTTTCTGAAGTATGTTTTTCTAATTATTATCTAACACAAAGAATTAGCGTTTGCAAACATTCTTCTGAGTGCGGAGTCAACAAACTCATTCACTGCCGGCCAATGGTAGAGCGTCGGCTCTTTTGACTTCTATAGCCGTCAATGGCAATGAATGAGTTTTAACTGAACTTCATTAATCATGTCAGGAAAAAAGCGAAACACGCTATCATTTACAATGTCTTAATCTGCGTATACAATACAATATAATTCATTTTTATTGATAAAGCGTTTCGCAACAGCTGCAGCCGTTGCAGAGTTTTACATAATTCTGTTGCGTAAAAGCAAAAGCAATGTTTTTAATTATACATGAAAACAACCCAGTTTGCTAGAAGGACAACCGCTGTTATCTATATTATGTCATAAACATAAATTGACCCAATGACGTCAATTGGCTTGAAAACATCTATAGGAATTGCACCAATGTAACGTGTTTATTACATTATTTATCCTTCCACTGAGGAGGGAGAGAAGCGCAACCCTCAAACTCACGCGAACTCTTCTCTGGAAAAGCTCCCAAGTTTTAATGTTGTCTATGTGATGATGTAACACGTAAATAGTCAGGGCCTGTAAGAAGTATTTTAAAGTTCATACTGGAGATACGTAGCGCAAAGAATGAAGACGAGGACGCCGACTGTCTTGTCCCTCACTGTGTGTGCTGGTGTGTGTTTTTGTTGCGTGCTGTGGACAGAGGCAGAAGAACTCTACCAGAAGAGAGTCCTGACAATCACGGGCATTTGTGTGGCTCTGTTGGTGGTGGGCATCGTTTGTGTGGTTGCCTACTGTAAAACCAAGTAAGCCGCGCTCTAAAATGTAACGCAGAAATCTTGCGCAAACGCATTGCGACATAAGTGACGAATCAGTTGACCGCCACCCTTTCTCAACAGGAAACAAAGAAAGAAGATGCACAATCATCTGAGACAGAACATGTGTCCAGAACACCCCAATCGGAACCTAGCAAATGGACCCAATCACCCAGGCCCAGGACCAGAGGAAATCCCCATGGTAGATGTGAGTTTCTGAAGAAAAGCGTCTTCGGTTTTTAATGTATTGGCTCTTTTATCAGGCAGGGAGTGATATTTGCCCCTCAACTTTTTATCCCGATGAAAGTAATCCGAAGAAAAGCGTCTTCGGTTTTTAATGTATTTGGCTCTTTTATCAGGCAGGGAATGATATTCCAATGCCAACCTTTTTTTGCCCCTCAACTTTTTATCCCGATGAAAGTAATCATCTGGTTTCAAAAAGATGAACACAAAGTTCATGCTGAATTTCGTGAAAACGTGTTCATATCGACAACGTTTGCAAATGCAAGTTTTCACAACTGCTGAAATTCAGCGCCTGCTTTTGGGGTATTCAAAATAAAACCTTCACAACTCGGTAGAGTCTCTTTTGATTTGTCCCCGCAGCTCCTTTTTGCTGTCGCAATTTGTAAAATAAATCCTGAAAGATCGAGCAGTTGGACGATGCATTTTAACAAGGTCAAACTAAGATCACCTGCAAAGGTTATAGCGCATTGTAGGTTCATCCTGAAATCTTACCAAAAGCCGAATGTCCCGAACTTCTTGTTAGTAACATACAACCGCATTACTGTAACTACAAAATATATCCAATGAAACTTTATTTTGACCCAGTACATATCAAAGAACGTTCCGGCAACTGAACGAGTCATCCGGCCTGCGACAGAAGGATCCTTCCCTGCCAGCCACACCTCTTCCAGGTCTCACAATTCTTCCACACGAGCCCATTCATCAACTCACAGGTGAGCGTGCATCGGGTGTCTCAATTCCACGAGGCTCTGGAAATACCACCCACGTGTGCCTGACACCATTTGTGTTACTTCAGACCCGAAGAACGAACGTGGAGCCTGGAACATTCGGACAGTGTCCTCTCTGACTCGCCGGGCATGATGTCATCATCAGTTGGGACCAGTAAATGCAGCAGCCCCGCATGCATGGAGGCACGGGCCCGGCGGGCTGCACACTGTGCTTACAACGACTCCCATCGGCCGGCCCTCCAATATGGGGACTCCTTTGACTCCCTGGGAGACTCTCCGCATAGCGACAGGTGGGACTGAGGCCCCCCGCGGCTCGTTTTTGGAGGTGAAAAATGAAAAATGAGTCACATGGTAATGTATTTAGTCATTTCATCAGCGTGACTTTACTTCCTGGGTTGCCAAACAACTGTCAAACAAACACACTGTGTGCATGCCAAACATTCAAAGCACAAAAACAAAGCGCCTGTATGAATTGGCGTCACCAAACCCGACAAGTTATGTCTTGCATTTTGTGTGTTTGACTTCTTTAGCTGTTTATGTGTCAATGGAGCCAGCCTAATTCAAGTATATGAGCATGAATCGGGCCTCGGATTGCTATGCACAGCTTGATTACATAAGCGAGATCCCCGCAGAGTCCAGTAACAAATAACATGGTTATGGCAACAGCGTCGGCGACTGCAAAATCAGCACTACTGTGGAAATCTCTCAGGCTCCCTTGGCCTTAGCGTATAGAGCCTCCTAAAGGCTCATCACGCTTCAAAGATCCACAGCGATGCGCCATCAACGAAATGCAACTTCTGCCAAGTTGTCGATCAAATGTGTTGTGCTGGTGTATTGGTGGAGCACAACGTAGAGCTGCATTTGTTAAGATCCAATGCAAGAGCTGTATAAAAAAAATATGCCTTTGCACCCTCAGTGTTAATTTAACAATATATCTTTATTATTTCAGCTGTAGTTTGAGGTGGTGTCGAATTGTGTGTGTGAAGTACCTAAATTAGGTAAGCACAAAATTTGAAACATCTGTGCCTCACTAACTTTTGTACTTTCCACAAAGTAGCGTCTCAAATATTTTGTTTTAATAGTGTTTAAAAGTGGGTCACTGGGTCATTGTAGGAATATAACTTCAAAGCCTGAGGATGCACAAGTTGCAAGTTTGTAGCCAGTGTTGACATGACTTGCCTGACTTATGACGTGGTTTTGTTTTTTTCAATCTTGCTCCACATTTTCCGTTCTTAGTCAGAATTGATTGTTGGAATTTTTTTATGAAACCAATATCGAAATATTTCCACACAATGGGGGAAAAAACATCTGCAATTCATCAGAATCACCTAAAATATATATTAAAAAGCTTAATGAAAAAGAAAAAAAACAGAAGTGGACCTTTAATAGATCGATCCTTGGGGAACACCAGAGGATGATAATGAAGTTAACACAGCTGGTTCGCAGCTGTGTTATGTAACATACACAGCTCTCCATTAGCCAGCAATACACACATTTTGTCTGTGGGAGCATCCAGAAAGAAACCATGTTGGCCTTCTTTCTGGGAGTTGACTTTGGATGAGAGGCTGTGTACACATGAGACTCAGTACCTGTCAATCACGGAGCTGATGCAGACGAAAAAAAAGAAGCATCCACTCTCACATTAATGCCTATACAATACGGAGTCTTCAATTCATTTTAATTTATGATACTCACAATTTCTCTCAAGGGAAAATTCAACTCAGCTGCTCATACTGTTTACAAGTGTTGCACATTCTGCGGAGAACCAGATCGCACACATGCAGGCATACAATGAGTGACGTCAGAGTTAAGTGGCGCACTTGAGGGGATGACTCTGGTGGGAATGTGCGAGAAGCGAGAGAGAAAAGTCCCATTTGAGATTCAAACCTTTTAAGTTGGGAAGCTAAGCGCTACTCTCTCAACCACTGCTCTGTCATTATTATTACAAGTTAATATTACATGCCTGAACAGAGACTCAGGAACAGGAACTCAGTCAGACACACACATTCAATGTGTCTACATGATTATATGTACACATATATTTTGTTTTTCTCTTAACACATGATATACGAAATTGTGTTTGGATTCAGATCATGCAATTCTTGATTTATGAGTGCAGATCGCTACAACGTTTTGTTAGGCGAACTTGGCTCGCGCGGGCCAACCAATCAAAGGATGTCAAAATTCTGCCAACTAATTCTGTGCGGGGGGTTTAAAATCTGACTGATAACGGAAACAGCCCCCATGGCTAAAATCAAGTTGAATCAGCCGGCTGGGCGGATGAGAAGACAGGGCAGCATGTGAAGGCTGAAATCTGATTGACGAGAAGAGATGTAGCATTCACATACATCGCACGTACATATTCGAAGCAATGCAGCTTTGAGAGAAATGCCAAACGAAGACGATAAACTGTTGAGAATAAATTTGACTTGAACGAATCCTAGAATTGTAAATGTCGGCCACTGCGGGCCTCGACAGCCTCTTATTGCATTCTAATGCAGAGTCACAAAAGATGAAGTCGCTTTCTCTTTTTCCCCTCCCAACAGATATGTGTCAGCCCTCACGACACCAGCCCGCCTCTCGCCAGTGGATTTCCATTACTCATTGCCCCCGCAGGTGCCTACCTTCCAGATCACCTCGCCCAACGCCAGCCACGCCATGTCCCTGCCCCCCGCTGTCCACAACCCGTACCCCCTGGAAGACAACCAGCCTTTGCTGCGCCGCAACCAAGTGCCCCTCCACGACGCCCAGTGCCAGGAGGCCTACCGGCAGCAACGGCGCACCAATCCCAACGACAGCAGGGGCAGCCTGCCCTCCAGCCCTTACCGGCTGGCGGACGACGAAGACTATGAGACCACCCAGGAGTATCTCTCCTCGAGGGAGCAACCAAAGAGAAGCGGGTCGGGCGCACCCGATAGCCGGCGCTGGAGGAGATCCAGACTGAACGGCCACGTGGCCCCGCGTGGATACGAGGCCTCCCGGGACTACGGCTCCCGGAGCTGCCTAACAGGAAGCGAGTCAGAGGAGGATGGCGAAAGCACTCCTTTCCTCAGTATGCAGAACATGAACGCTGAGCCGTCCACCATCTACAGGCCGGTGGACAGTCGGACTCCTCAGTCGTCGGGGCGGCACAGTGCGCATGGGAACATGCAGACAAGACTTTCACACTCCCGCTCCAAACCGGACACTACACCCCATTAGCGAGTGACCATGAACCAAGGAAAAAAAAAAAAAAAAAAAAAAAGTCAGTATAGTATAGACCTGCATCTATAAGAAATATTTTTATTTTATATAACTGACAGATATTCTAAACAAATGAAATATTTATTTTCATTTTAGCAAAAGTTGTCTACTAGTTAACAGCAAAGACTTTTTTATAGGGAAAACTCTATTTATATGTACGTTTTGATTTACAGCATAAAGAGATGTGCCAGTTTTTTCACAATGTCAAAAAGAGAAAAAAAAAATCGAGTAATATTGTGGTGCCTTTTGCTGTTTGCCGATGCCAGAGGGCCAGTGGAGATTTTTGTAGTCTTTCTTATACGGACGCCTCGTTTTTTTTATACACATTGATGTTTTGTTTTGTTTTGTTTTTTCTCTCTCTCTCTGGTTGAAAATTTCTTTTCTTTCCAAGTTGCATCCTTTGAGGAGTCGCACCCCACTGGAACATCCTTCCATATCACGCAATATAAACCACTTTCATCACAAAGTGTATGTTTACATCAATGTAACTCACCTGTAGGGTTTATCATTTGGGATCAAATAGAATGCCTGGTTAATGAACACCATGTCGACCATTTTTGCCATCTGATTCACATGTGGATGCGTGTGTGTGTGTGTGTGTGTGTGTGTGTGTGTGTGTGTGTGTGTGTGTGTGTGTGTGTGTGTGTGTGTGTGTGTGCGCGTGCGCGCCACCATGCTTGCATGTATCATTAAGAGTTCCAATGGTTGATAATGTGGTGGCATCGACTTTGAGGCTTTGCCAGTACGCATCAGAACCACTGCTTTATTACAATTGCCCCCACCATGCCCCCCCCCCCACCCCCCAAAACCCCGTGAGTAGGCGCAGGTGAAGCTGCGGTAGGTTGTGTTAATTTATGCAGGTCATTGCTCGATGTGTTTACAGATATCCCCCCGCCCCCCAACCCCAAGCCTGCCGCATTAAGCCTCCCACTCGCCTTTTCTGCAGGCTCCCCTCATTTGAGCCTTTTATGAGCCTCGCAAATACTGAGTCGCTTGGCACAGGGTGACCCCTGCCATCAGAGGTGGTGGGTGAAACAAAAAGATTGCATCTGTTTTCACTCAATTCTTAATGCCCCCCCCCACCCTTCCCTTTTAAAATCCTTTACTTCATCATCCTGTGTCCATTCTGGTTTTTGTGGGTCTCTGTTTGAGGCCACACAGTGTCTCAGGATCCCCCCGCCCTCCTCCCTTTTTTTTTCCCCACCCATCAATCCCTCAACCCATTAACTCTGTTTGGGACCTTCATGCCATCATGCACTCGTACCCTAAACACGCACATAAAGTCAAGTAGGAGGAAAACAAAACGAGACAACGCGAGTGGAATAGCTGTGAAAGGGATCATACAATGCAAAAATATGCAAACTTTCTATTTTGCCGTTTGATGACATCGTTTTCTAAGAGGTGACCGTGCGATGTGTGCGTAATGCCTGTAGTGTAGAATGAAGCAACACGATATACAGTCAATGCATGTTTAACACAGTTATTTTTCTTCGTTTAAAAAAAAAAACAAAAGCCATCTATCGAATTCCTTGTGCACACGCTTGATTTATCACTCGCTTTTGAGCGTTTCACTTTTACATGCACTTCCAGTAACGTCAAGTAGCATCCAAATAGTGTCTCCTCCGATAGTACTGTGTACCTACCGCTTTGTCTTATCGACAGATTTAGTCATATGAAATTCAGCCTGATGCAAGGAATCAAACACATTCACGCCCCCAGAAATTTTCGAAAGTCCGAGCGGAAAGCTGAAGTTAGTATGTTATTATGAAGCATTGAAAAGAGATGCTAGCGATTGCGCTGCACTTCGAACTGCTCTGTGATAATTGCACACCGGTCTTCTTATAGGGACTGAGCGTTGGTCACATGTCACTTGCAGAATATTTCACTCTCCCTGCCTCCTAAAGCTCCTCGAACTGAAATTCTGCCATTTCCCTCACTTTGGCAGAACGGACCATGTTGAGGTTCCCGCCAGGCATGCTCTGCTACAGTCTCCTCTCTTTTCGTTTCAAGACACACTCCCAACTGACCTCGCGCCGCTACCCCCAACCGTCTTGAAACTCCTTTCCTCTGCATGTCCTTGTGATCAAGATTAAATGGGTGCATGGTTTTCAAAAAGGAGAAGAAAAAAAAAACAAAGAACAGCAGCAGACAATTCTATTTCAGTCGGTGAAAGTGTATTTCATTTAACATTCAGCAATAAAAATACAGCCCCCACCCCTTGCCCCCAATCCCCCCGACATGTCATTCCTGGAATATGCTAGAAATAAAAGAAACAATGCGAGATTGTCATAGATTGTAAAATAAAATGAAAAATGATTCCACCTGTTCATATGAGGAAAATAAATCTTTATTCATATCATTTTTTTAATGATGTAATTATTTCTGCAGAAATGTTTGCTCTGCATCTTGGCGTGAATGCACATAATCATATGAATGTGTACAACATGACATTTTTAGTGGCATTATTTTATTACAGTTCTTGAAAGGAAAAACACATTTTACTTTTGTGAAAAGAAATAATAACTTAGTACCCATATTTTATCCTTCAGAGGTGTGGAAACAACCCATGTATTATCATATTTATACTATTGTAAAGGTCAAACTCTATTTTAAAAATAACTTTCAAATAACTGCACGCCTCTCTATTTGATAAACTAAATCTAACACCTCCATGACTTTATATCGGTCAGACGGGTGTGTTTTATCTGGCAATATCTTACTGTATTCTTAAAATAGGTATACTGTACTGTACTGTATTTTCTTGAGTTTAGCGTTGGTGAAAACACACCACTAGATGGCAATACAAATTCCAGGATGAACACATCTCCCAACAATTGGTGGGTAGGAGTCCTTATCTCATTTAAACAGTAATGTAAAGGTGACCAAACCAAAGAAGTAAATCAAACACGTCCAAACACATTTATAAAACAAACCTGTGTCTTTTATTGCCGTGTTATGCGAATAGACTGCACGCATGCAACAATCTAAGGATATCACATCTTGCTTCAAATCACTATTTTAGTGGCGTAAACTCAAATGTGTGAGATACAGTGGCCGAGCCTCACTCAAAAGCAATGACAAATATTTACACCCTAGATCAGGACTGAAGACCCCTGACATAGATTCTAATATGTGTTCCAAATTGTTTTTAATTATTGACAACACGTTTTTCATTCCTTTGATCAGTTCCTCTGAGCAAAACTTGTTGCAGTAAAAAAAAAAAAAATAATGCAAATTATTTTACAATGCGCACCTATTAATACAATCCTTAATCAGAATATTTGTATTTTACTGAAATTGTTTTTTTTTTTATGCCATGATATGTTGAAATAGAGTCTGAACTGCCATCAGATGATGGAACATTTACGTGCTCTTAATGCATTTTTTGTTTTTGTAATTTAGTAATGGTTTCTATTACTGTGGCATGTTGGGGTGGTGTTTAAAAAGTCAAATACGCTCCCGAAGTCCCAGGGACCAAAAGCACGACCCTTCACTCGTGAGTCACATGGCGTTTAATATAAGCGAAAGGCCAGTTTAGTTAGCAGCAAGTGGAAAGTTCAGTAAAAATATAACAGAACGTGGCCGGCGTGGAGAAAAATGTATAATGGATAACACACCCAAAGAGAGTCTAAAAAAAAAGGACACGAAGACCTCCAAAAGATGGCAGAATGAATGGACTCGAGTGTGTTGCTGCAATATCATAGCTATCCGCTGGATGGCGGTATCACTACACTAACATTTAAACCGGCTGTTATCAAGGGAACAAGACACATCTTAAGAAATAATTTTCGAATGACTATACAGTATTTCTTTTCCAACCACAAGTAAGGGCCTAAGGGTTTAAACTTGTCTTGAATACTATAATACCTGGGTTGGCATTTTTATTGACCCAATCAAATTCTTTTAATATTTAAAATGTAACTAAAATGTGGACAGATATTACAAATATGCAGCACGAGGTTCTCGGGGCACCTGACAGGTAATTTGCGCGAGCGTCCCTGCAAACATTTGGGGCTAGCTAAGAAGAATGAAAGCTCGTATCCAATTGGTACAAACGTTTGGATAGAAATGTCCAACTGTTTGATGTTTCGGTACTGTTTGCATACCAACTGTTCAATGTTTGTTTCCTCTGTTTGTTAAGAACTGAACGGCAACGTCCAATTCAGTTCACCTGAACTACTTTGGGTGCGTTTAGGTTCATCCTGAAATTTAACTGAAAAGCTGCCTGTATGGTGGAACTAGAACTTGGTTCAACATTAGGAAGCGTCATGTAATCTTGTTACCCATACTAATAAGTTGAGCGTTTTTAATTAAAATAAATGTGCTTGTTTTACTGTACTTGTACTATGTTCAGTGCAGAGTACCTAGAGAAGGAAAAACAAGACAATCAAAGTTTTTTTTTCTTTTTAATATATAAAGCACTTCCTTTAAGTGATTTCAAATACAAAACATCTTGAGTCCCAGGCATCACTAAAGTCCTCAATGCTACAATACAACCATGTGTGCTATTTCTTTTTTCACGATTGACCTGTCAATAACTAGCATCAGCCTCCATAATCCCAGCAGTCATACAGGAGATGAAGCGAATAAAGTGAAATCACTGCAAGAATGGCTGCAGAAAACAGCAGTAGCCACTCACTTTTCATTAACAATTTTTTTGTTGTACAATTTTGATACATTCAGACGACCTGCTTCAGGAGATTCGCCTCGGTGTCTTGCCGAATGGCTGCTTCCTTTGGTGGTATTTTGGAGACATTACCGGAGCCCCTGTATTGAAAGCAGATAATTCATACATGGATCAGTTTATTTTTTCTTTTAATTCACTTTTCACTGCGTGTAGTTTTATTTTATTTTTGTTCACGTGATATGTCCATTTACCTGTCTTCCACATCTTGTATTGTGTCAGGAAGCGGTGACCCAAGTGTTTCCGGGAGGAATAAGGCAGCCACTCCGCTGATGATGGGAGCTCCTCCATAGATCAAACCCGGCAGCCAAGGTATGTAGTCACCGCTCAGAAGCACCATGGGGGCCACCATCGCTCCCACACGAGCACACATCGATACCCAGCCCATTCCATTCTGACTGAGATACAATGTTAATGTGGTCCTTGTTGTGTGGTAGAATTGAAGATGTGGTAGGTACACCCGAACAGTCGGAAACTGTGAACGCCCCCCCCCCATGCTTTCTTCCAAAAACATGCATGTTAGGTTAATGAAAGACTCCGAATGTCCCATTTGTGTGCAAAGTCAGCTCGTGTAGGTTTTAGCTCACCCGCAGTATACTGAATGTTTAGGAGGTAAGATCATTGGGTTTACGTGACCTTGTTTCATCATGAGATGGGTCACATAGTGCAGTTAATCTTTAGCAGTTTGCCTCTGACCTTTATTTCCACACACACACGCACACACACACACACACACACACACACACACACACACACACACACACACACACACACACACACTGCAATGCCTGTTACTGGAAATATTTTATTTATTGAATTTTAAATACTTTAAATCCATCCATTTTCTATCGTAGACCTTTTTGTAATCATTTGCAGATGAGCTGAAGTGTAACCAGGTACACCCTGAACTGACAGAGGCAAAAAAACCCATTCAAGCTCATTTGAGCACCTTTGGATAATTGCAAGTCTTCAATGTACCTGGCGTTTGTGTTTTTTGAATGTGGGAGAACGCTGGAGTACCCGCAGCAGAACATGCAAACGCAATTTAGAGCTCTTTTACTTTCAGTCTAAGACATAATGTCATTTGAGGCATTACGTAATCAGTCAGAGTGGCTTGTCAGTGTGATTATGCCGCTCAAATAGTCAAGGAGAAAAGTGCTCAGCTGAGGTTCTGATTGTCTTAATGAGCTTATGTTCTTGCGTACATGTGCAACAACATAAACAACTTTTTTTTTTTTTCCCATCAAGCGTTTCACTTGGAATTTCCATCTTACCGAATTATGGTGGGGAAGAGCTCTCCAGAGTAAAGGTAACAGCAGCTGAAGGAAGCAGCAAGACAGCCTTTGCCCACAACAGCTAGTGAGGTGCGTAGCGTCTGGTGCTCTGCGGATCAGTGAGATTGTAAGTCTTTGCTCAGTATGCAGAGGTTCATCGTTCGCGCCCCCATTACATTGCAGATGTAAAGAGAACGTTTTTTAATACGTCTGTGTTAAAAATCAAATCTAATGTTTTGCAGCTTGCAAGCACACCGTGTGTTTTGACATACCGTAAGGTACCATCAGATTGATCAGTATTGTGATTCCAGCAAGAATAAGTGCACCACTTTGGGATGGGCGGCGTCCGATGAAACTCATTGTCAGTGTTATGACGACTTTGGCGGGAATGTCCACAGCCCCAAAGATGACTTGGATTAAATAGAAGTCCACACCAAACTTCTGGAGGTCCATGGCTAGCCCATAGTAGGCAAAGCTTGTTGAGAGCCTGCGGAAGGGAAATAAAGTGTCCTTAAAATTTGAACGTGTCAGTATCAAAGTGTGAAAAGTGCTTGAATATAATGAGGAGTTACTTGAAGCGCTTGCATGTGAGGGTTTGCTCACCAGACTGCACAGAGGCAGATTGTCATTGACCGCATCGTGGGAGTGCGGAACAGATCTAAAACAGTGTAGGAGCCTTGTGAGCATGACATTTCTTTCTTCATGGCCTCTTGCACCATCTTTACGCAAAGAGAAAGTCATCTTTACTCAATCTCAGCTTCTATATCCAACACAAGAAAATGCTTTCCACTTACTGTAATGTCAATTTTGTCTCCCTCCTTGCGACGTCCGTTTATTTTAGCGACACTTTTAAGGTTCTTGATAGCTTGGTCATAGTTGTGGCTCAGGACCAACCATCTTGAAGATTCATGAAACCACCTGGATGAGAGCGCGTTCGATTACAGTCCAAATGCTACTTTCACATCATGATCCAAACCTGTATGAAGTGGGTCCAACAGTAAAAATTTCGCCTAAACAAAGACAACTGTTCTCCTTTTTGATTGACGCTGTCATAGACAGTATTGATATATGATTTAAGTGTTAAGAGTGAGCAATAGACTAAAATTAACCATGGGGGAAAATTAAGCGCGAATTCAACTTGAATATTTAGGTACTGATTTTAGTTAGCAGAGTGAGAAAAGGAGTTGACCCCCCCCCCCACCCCCAAACAATGTATTTATTTTTCAAAATAACTAGAAATGATTCATAAAGGACTGGTTTAATTGTGGTATTTGTATTGGTAAGTGGGCTCCCTCTAGTGGTATGCAAACGTGTGACACGTGTGACTGAACCACATGATTAAACAGTGTATAATTTTACTGTGGCTTCAACGTTTTTTTTTTTTTTTTTTTTTTTAAATTCAGCCCAATATATTTTTGAACTACATTTCGTTGTGTTTCATTTCGAAATTTTATTTAGGCACTATTTTGATGTCACTGCTAATGTTCAAACCGTGCACCATGTCACAGTAGCTTCCAATGAAACCGCCACCTCGTTTTTGAACATATTGACCTACTACACACGTTTGTTTTATGTTGGTCATTCTGGTGATACTTGAAGAGACAAATACAGTATTTATTTGAGTTGGTACTTTGAGGTGTTTGAGTACCTCTACTTTTGACAGTAAACTAGCTGATAATAAACAGCACCTCCTGCTGGTTGCAGTTGTGTTCGCCATTTTGTCTGACTTAATTCAAGCGGCAATTAATCAATAATCAATTTCACACGCACACAATCAGCAGAAACTTGGTAGCAATTAGGTAATCGATTAGTTTAGCGCCGACGGTTAAATTCATACAGAGTCGGGAAATAAATAAACACACACAAAAAAAGATGGAATTTTGAGTTTTGCTGAATCATTGCAGGATGCTAATCCGCTCAACTCTGAACATCTCACCATGAGTAGATGAAGAAGACATAGAAGGGTGATGCCGCAGCCAAGGTCAACCATCTCCAGTCCCGAATGAAGTAAGCGACAGCCGCCTGGATCAACTGTCCAAACGTGTAACAGTAACCTGTGAGAGTGCCCACCCCGGTCCGCACACGGGTCGGGATCCACTCCACAACTTTTTCCAAGAAAAAAAAAAGTGTTCTGTTTTAGATGTGGCATGCTCATTTGGCCTCCCCCGCCCCAGTCAAACTGAATTACTTACTGAGTGAGAAAGTGTTGAGGCCCACACCTGACAGAGCCATTCCACAACCAAAGCGGCACAGGCAGAAGATGGGGAAGGACGTGGAGAAAGCGGCACCCGTCCCGGCCACTGCCATCAGCAGGTTAGAAATAATCAATAGGAAGCGTCGTCCAAACCTGAGTTTAGAGCAGAGTTTCTTGTATACGAATGAGTTTTACCTTCCTTAAAATACGCCCCCCCCCCCCCCCCCCCAAAAAAAAAAAATCAAAAACAAATGAGAACTGTCAGAAAACCGTTACTTGTCTGCAAGACTTCCCAAGACAAGGGATCCCACAAGAACACCTCCCATGTAGACGGTTTGGCTCATTTGCTTCAAAGAGCGCAGATCGCACACCAAATCCCACTGAACACACCATTTAACAATATTTTCAACACCCATGCTGAGACTGGAAATCCATGCGGGACAAGAACGCCTGGCCTTACCTCCGCTATGATTGTGGAGGTCATCCCAGTCATATTATAGGACCATCCATCAGTGCATCCCTGGAGGCTAATCTCAGCGTCAATGTCTTCCGGAGCCTCTTGTTCCAAAGTGCCATTCTTGCCCAGGAGATGCCACTGTGGAGCAACGTAGCGCTGGCAGCTCTGATGCTTGCCCGTTTGGTCTAAAGGCACGGTGACTGTCAAGATTTCTTGCGGGCTGAGCTTGAGCTGAGATAGATTTGCATGCGCGCTGCAGTAATGAGGAGGCACGGCCGCCACAAAATTCTGCAGCATGTTATGACTGGCCATCAGTAGCACTGGAGTACAGAGCAGGGTCACGTGCAGCACCTGGAAGCGGCCTGTGCTGCCCACTTGCTCAAGAAGGTCACCGAATGCCATTTTTAAGATTTATTTATTTTTTTCTCCACAAAATGGTTAACAGCACCCGGAGTTCTAGTAGTTCTGTTCCAGAAGCATTTCTCGTTACGCCTTGGTTGTGATCAACACAGCACCTGGAAATCGAGTTAGGAAAACAATTGCCAATTATTTCTGTTGCATTAATCATTTTCAGTTCAAATCATGTGGAGTGTTTTTACATGAAATTGCAATTGGGCCATGCCACTCTCATGATTGTTTCCAGAGTTTCCCGTTTCTGGTTTTTGCTAGAGCTCATCTATTGGTTGTCACTATCAAGTTCTTCACGCAAAACTAGTGCATGTTTTTTTAACTTCTTTTTACTCTTTAACAACTGATATATATATTTTTCCCCGTGGTAAAAATTGAACGTTGATCTAAACAGTTGGCGATCGGATGCATTGTTTGCCTTTCTGGTTCCCAGGGAATACGGGAAGGACTTACCTTCAGAATGACATGAACAAGAGCTTTCAGCGTCCAACGCCTCAACCTCAAAGCTCCCAGGAGATTGCACAAGAGCATCAACTCAAATGAAAGAGCAAAAAATGAAAAGGAAGTCGGTGAAGTTGTGGCTGCATGTTAATGCAAATAATCAGCTCTCAAATTCCAGCACTTTTTTTTTTTTCTGAACTTTGGATTTTTGGATGTGCTATTGAGCCGAGCGCACGAGGCATTAGCGGCCTACTCAACGCCGAGCTTGAATGCAGAGTTTTTACTGAATAGGATCAAAGTCTGGTCGGGCAAGGGAGCAGAAGTGGGCAGTTACATATGCTTGACTCATTTTCCACTCCCCTCTCCTCATTAGTTATTTCATGTCTTGCAGTCTTGAAGTGCCTTGCTTATTTGTGTTCTTTTCAAATATGCAAACACTTCCTCCAACAACAACAACAACAACAAACAATAAATAGCAACCCACCAAAATCTGCAGAGCCAAATTTGTTAATACCATAATCAGAGTAATCCAAAATGATAGGGAAAGGGAACACTTGAAATCTCAAAAAGTATCTGACCGTCAAACAAGAACGTGTGGAAAATCGGATCGTAACTGTCATCTCGCTATTGTTGGAGTGAAAAGCCGAACGAACCTCTGCCTTTTTTGTCGTGCTGACCAGTTTTGAGGAATGCATGCACTTGTGTAATGATCAGCGTGAGGTGTCAGCCTGAATGAAGCTGCAGGTGCAGCAAACCAAAAGAAAAAAAAAAAACAACAACATTGATTCAGCTGTGAGAGTCACAACCACAACAGAGTTGTCCTTTATTTAAACTCATTTTGAGTGATGCTTTGAAGCACAAAAGTTAAGATACAACCCTCACCAGAAACTTGAGGTACAGAAATTAGCTCTGCCACAAATTGTTTCTTTGCAAAGATATAAATAGATTTTTATTGTGGTAGATTTGTGGCGTTTTTGGAGATCTGCATTCTTTTATCCTTTATTCTGAAAGGTATTGAACCTGACAATGAATATTAAATGTCTCATGCCACATCCAGTTTTGAAATGTAAATCTTTTTTTTTTAATCTTCAATGGCCTTTCATTAGGTTTTCAAGAAAATTAGAGGGACGTCATGCATTTGTTTTCTCAATGCTGATTGGCTGTCGCGAGAATTCTAATTGAGTGGGCGGGTACTCGAATAATGACGATTGTCTCTACATCATGGCAACACCGAATTTTGAGTTTTCCATGCCCGGCGTATTTAATCAATGATTGCGTACAATTAACAAACCATGTAAATGTCAAACGTAGTCTACGTCACAGACTCCTTTTGACGTTATTGATCAAATGGATTTTGATGCCAAGGGTCCTTGTAATATTCTGTATTTATGTAAAAGGAGCGTACCTTTTGGCAGTGCTTAGTAGACTGCTACAAAATGGCCTTAAAATGTGCAAATTAACTTTTTTTTTTTTCCTTATCCAAATTTCAGCCTTCATAATGGATTTACATTTGGACTTCGAAGATGTAAAATCAGATATGCATCATAAAGAAGACTTGCTGTCTTCGGTTTTATTGCAGTGGTCAAGCGTGACACATTGACAGTAGTAACACATTACTTATTCTCCTCATTGCCTTCAACTTCTCACTAGTTACAAATACTGTGAACACAAGTAACATATTACATCGACCTCTTGTCTGTGACCGAAGCGAGGGGAAAAAAAAAAAAATGTTCCATGTTTCTTTTTCATGACGCGTTGACGGTCCAAAAGTCTAAGGCTGAGCCATGTGACACTATGCAATTGTCTGTCTGAAGGCTTCTAACAAGGTACAAAAATCCATTAAAAATGAAATATCAACGTGATATGTTCACAGGATTCAGAGGGAATGAGAGTCGGAGACTGTCACTTGAGGTTTAAGAGTCTTGCTGATTTGTTAATATTTATGCTTACTATTGTTTGGTACTTGTTTTGTTATTGTTGGCTCTTTGGATTGGTTTTTGATCTTGTTTATGTGGTAGTATGTACCTGGTTCTATCACTATGTAGGGGTTCATTATCATTGACTATTTTTATGATCTTGGCATTATTTTCACCATGGATGAAGAATGGAGATAGAAATGAAGAGAAAAATGGAGGAGGGGGTGGCATTTAGTAACTTTTCGTAGGTGCGCTTGGTCAATTTTGCTTGTTTGTTGCTGTTTTTATAGTTTTTGTTATGATTTTAATTGTTTTTCATTGGTTTCTTTATTTTCAGGTAAACATTCATTGATTCGAGTCCAATCTTAAGAGTCCTTGAAATGCTCTCTTCTCGGCATGCTGAATTGCCCTTTTGTTTTCAAAAGGATCTCCTGCTTCATGAGAGTCGCTCTTGTGGAGTGAAGTTCATGGGTGTGACAACATCACTGAAACTTCAACAAAATGTTATCAGAAAATCTCGCAATAACTGTTGGCATGGTTGAATCCTGTCTTCACTGTGGGGGGGTTGCTGCCCACCTATCCAAGGTCCAGTCTTCTGCTGGACTGTGGCCAATCCTCGCACCGGGGCCAGACCAAAACACTGTTTTTATTTTCTGACTCTAAACCTCCTCCGAATATTCATTGAGTATCTTCTATCCAGCATCCCTTCACCAGAGTCCCCAGTGTGCTGGATTGTATCTCGGCTGACTTTGGAGAGGCGTGGTACACCCCGGACCGATTGTCAGCCAATCACAAGGTACGTAGAAACCAACAATCATTTACAATCACTCTCGCACCTCAGGACAATTTCGAGTCCTTCAAGTCTGTTTTGGAATGTGAACGCCACACAGGGGGGAAAAAACATAGCCAGTACGGATTCTAAACAAAGAATCCAAACTTCATATTCAGTGAGAGCGTAGAGGGTAGGGTTATGTTGGTGATTAATATTTTTCCCCAAAGAACTATTTCATAACAATGAAAAAAGCCTGAAAAATAACCCTCTCCATTACATGGAAGTCCTCCTCCAGACAAACCACGACAACCCCCGCCCCATCCCTTTCCACCCTCGTAAACAAACAGTCCAGACTGATGATATCGGCCTAATGTAGGACATTTGGCAAACAAACACGTTTGCATTTATCAGTGATGAGAATAGATCTCATTTTCGCAGCGTGCGTCACCTGAAAACACCGTTCCTGAAATAGCGACTGTCTGCAATGCTGATTAAAATGTAAACTCATGCACATATGTTCTGGATTTGCTGTTTGCAATTCCAAGAATAGGTCGACAACCTCGGGTTTGTCATTATAACCCCCATCTGATCGTAAAACGTCATCCGTAATAAGGTTGTCCGTGTTCTTTATTGCCATCGGTACTGGGATTACAAAACCTCGATGCGTTGAAGGGCAACAGTGAAATGGAAATAACTAAAATAGTCACCCAGGCCGTTATGGCGTTTTGATCATATTTTATTCCGAATGAGTTTGGGTGTGAGTGCCGTTGGGATTTTTGTATTAAAAAAAAACAAAAAAATCACCAGTCAGTTCACAAAGCCCACCGCAAAGCTCCTTGATCAACTTCACAGTAACGAAATTGCATTCTGCGCACCCCTCGAACGTGGCTGCAAGCTGTGCTTTTGTGCACAAATGCAAGAGACGTGAAAAATGTCGCTGAGGGTTTTTGTTTGTGCCGCCGTGAGTCGACGCGCATAGAATTTATTTGAAAATGCGGCTGAACCGTTTGGGATGGACTGAGCACCTGGCATCGCTTCTATCTTGGAAATTAAGACAAGTTCACATTTACGATAATGTTGATGACACCGTCATGCGGGCAGTTTAGAGTAGTTTGTCAGGGTTGGGGAGTTTCTCCAGTGTGGGCTCCATTCCCCAGATCTCACGGGCGTACTGGGCGATGGTGCGGTCACTGGAGAACTTGCCGCATCCGGCAATGTTGTAGATCACCTTCTTGGTCCATTCCTTGGGGTTCTGGAGAGAGGATGATCATCCCATTAGTGGTTAAAAAGCGACCTATTCGTGATGATTTGAATCGAATACTCATTACAATTACAATCGAGGCACATTGCCTTGCACAGACCTTATAAAGCGCGTTCACTTTCTCCTGGCATTTAATATAGTCTTCATAATCAGCGAAGACCTTAAATCTGTGCGGAAAAATAACACAATTAACTCGGCGATGGGAAAAAAAAAATCAGCAGGTACACAATTAGTCTCTGTGGTAATTCTACCAGCATGCGAGTTTCTAGTTCTACGTTAATGGCTGTTTTCGATATGAGATGCTTTTTACCTGTCGTGATTCATCAGCATGTTGACAATTTCTTTGAACAAGTCAGGCTGCTTTGGGGTGAAGAAGCCCCCGGCGATCTGGTCAATGGCTTGTTTCAGCTCAGGCAGGCGATTGTAGTACTCGTGAGCGTGGTATCTATGGGCGGGGCCACATAGAAATAATAACACATATATTATATAGTAATAACACAACCGTGTACTTATTTTGAATTTTCCACAATCCTGTGGGTATGCAGTATATAGTTTCGTATAGTGTCTGGTGTCATTTTAAGATTTGGCCAGATGGGAGTTGACCCTTTACCCTTTCCTGTCCATTTCGTCAACGTCGTCCACCCTCATGCCAAAGATGAAGAGGTTGTCCTCGCCCGCCTCCTCAGCCATCTCCACATTGGCTCCGTCCATGGTTCCGATGGTCAGAGCGCCGTTCAGCATGAACTTCATGTTGCCAGTGCCGGAGGCCTCAGTGCCCGCGGTGGAGATCTGCTCGGAGAGGTCGGCAGCCGGGATGGCTGAAAGATGACAAGAGGTAAGCGCTCGACGACTCTACAGCAAGGGTGTCAATTGTGCTTCAAGTGAAAACTTGATGCTAAGTGGCCCGAACGAATAAAATTGTCACACAGGTGATGTCGATGACAAGAAGTTGATGTTTTCTCTGTGTTTTAAACGCAAAGGGGGGGGGAAAAAAAGATTCTTTTCACAAAACGTTAAGAGCTACTTCAGATCGCGTCGGAAAAACGTGCCGATGCGTGCGTTATACTGTAAGCGCTCAAAGTGATTGTTTGTCAAGGCACAGCAATGTCAGACACCACAATGTATTTTTGTTTACCCTTTTCAAATGCCTCCTGCGGGCCAGATTGAAGCTAATAGCCGGCCGGCTTTGGCCCACCAACCTTATGCTTGATACCACTGCCGACGACCATCTTTGCTGGGCGCCAAAGGAACCACGAGATGTGCAAGGAAAGCAGATGAGAGCAGCTGAGGCGTGAAATACCTTTCTCAGCGAGAGTGACTCTGTAGTTCTCCAAAAAGATGACTTTGAGCCGGTCTCCCACCACAGGATCATTGTTGACCACTTCGCCAATAGCTGTGATCAGACGAATAATCATCTTGGCAGTGTGGTAGCCGGGAGCGGCCTGCAACAAATGACATGTCACGCTAGCTGTGTTTAACCGCTGCAAACAAGCTCTCCCCCATCTCACCCCACCCTGCCGACAATGGGGCCTCAAAGTCGAACACCATCACTTTCATCCGGGACGCTTGTTGACCTCTTCTACCTGATTTTACAACAGCCTCGGAAGCTGCCTTCCCTCAAATCATATTTACTAGGGGGCAATTTTTAACGGAGATTCTTGGGTGGGCATACAACTAAGATTTTTGTGCAATCGCGCAACCTCAGATGGATGACATCATGTTGTTGTGAAGACACAAACTAGTCGAGGTGCAATCAAATGCTTGTTGATTGCAGCCAAGCAGGGCACTCCATTTTTGTCTCCATTTTGTGTCAGCTGACAATGTGCAAACGCCCCAATTTTCCACGACGGGTGAAATTTGGTCGATTCGAAGGCACGTACCTTTCCGCCAATCATGATGGTTCTCGGTGTCCACTGCTTGTTTGGCTCTCTCTTGATTCCTGACAGCGATATGAGGAGATTTTAAGCACCGGAGTGGCCCGACCGAGTCATTCACGTCGGAATGTGAATTGAGTGGCTGTTTACGGTTATAATAGGTGATGATGTGCAGACAGTTCAGGAGCTGCCTCTTGTATTCGTGGATTCTCTTGACCTGAACGTCAAACATGGAATTCGGATTGATCTTGACCTTATAGTGCTCCTCCAAGTGCACGGAAAACTTGAGCTTGTTTTCCTGAAAAATAACAAGGTTGACTTTAGCTCATCTGATAGTTGTAGATGCTGTTGAGCAAAACAATGCCGTAAGAAAAGCGTCAACAAAAGCCGAATCCTCTTAATGACAGGCACCCCTACTGTTGCGGAGACTGTAAAAGTCACATCATGGAGCTTTACAGATTGAGCCCAGAGGAACAAACAGCGATCAAAAAGATGAACTTGACTTCACCTGCTTCACTTTGGCAACATCACGGATGAACGCTTCGTCGTTCACAAACTTGCGCAGACTCTCCAGCTGGTCGAGGTCACGGATGAAGTCCTCTCCAATTCTCTTGATTAGACAAGAACGGAAAAAAAACGACTGATTGCGTGCCACGTCTTTGACGCACAAAGCACGCCGGGATATCGGCGTGAGCTACGTGCGTTTTAAAAACAGCGCTCACCTCGGCGATGACCTCAGCCAGGCCAGGGTTGCACATCACCAGCCAGCGGCGGGGGGTGATGCCGTTCGTCTTGTTCTGGAACTTCTGCGGCTCCATTTCGTAGAAGTCCTTGAAGCTGCGGGGCAGACATAAATCAGGACACGGCGATAATAAAATGCCTCACGGCCGAAGGTGCATGGCCTGCGACGACCGCATCGAACGTACACAGTCGCTTTGAGGATGTCTGAGTGGATCTGGGCCACGCCATTGACTGCGTGCGAGCCGACAATGCACAAATGGGCCATGTTGATCCTCTTTTGTCCTCCTTCTTCAATGAGGGACATGCGGCCCAGACGATCATTGTCGCCGGGGAACCTTGCCGCCACGTTCTGCCAAATAAAAGGGCATTCAATGCAAATTCATAGAATCATTTTCATCGCTGTTTTTGTGCACGGCAGGAGCACGCCCCAACTTTATTTGGAAACGCTGTGAATGTCGCACAGATAAATGAAATTTCATTTCACTTTTCAACTTTAATTCATGGCTTGGCACATTGCTTCCCCAAGCGTCTGTCTGCATCTCGGCAGTGAAACCGGACTGACAGAGAGGACGGATTTGTGAGCCACAGACAGAGGCAGGTCTCAAACCAAGTTATTTCCTGCTGAAATTTTGTGTCTGAAAAATGTTGTCTTCAAGCCATGATCTTTTGAATATATGTGGCTGATGGAAAAAGGGCACGGTGTTTAATTTGGTGGCTTCAGGGCCGCAAAAGAATCAGTCGCATTGACTTCATTCACTGGAGTGGAGAAACAGAGGACCTGCCGTTGGTGCCCCAAAGGTCTGAACTGGGGAATCAAGCCATGTGAAACTGAGACAGCGAATGATTCTTAAGTCTGCAATCTAATTTTCTGAAAACTTACACCCCCCCAGGCCTGCATAATTTTACTCGTGGCTTTAACAAATTCCCCTTGCATTTTATGGTCAAACGGAGCTGCAATGTGCAGAGCAGCACAAATGACAGCAAGTTGCAATATGCGGTACTCACCTCTAGGTGGCGACGATTGATCTCATAGATAATTTCCAAGTGGCGGGGCAACAGATGGGCAAACAGGTCCACTGGCCATCGCTCCAGAGCCTCGGGGAGGACTGTGTGATTGGTGTAGGCACAAGTACGCACGCACACGTCCCAGGCCTATGCGCACGGAAAGATGTGACTTATTTAGAGCGCTTTATGGTTCATTCTGGTGGTAATGAACAAAAAAGCTCAGCTGACCTTATCCCATGGAAGCTTCTCTTCATCAACCAGAACCCTCATCAGCTCAGGAATAGCCATAGCCGGGTGAGTGTCATTCAACTGGATGGCGACCTGAATAAACAAAATGTTGTTCAATGCCATTAGCCAATTCAACAAAACGCGATTCCGCCACAATGCGTTGAACACATTCGACAGAGGCGATTTTAAGCAAACCACAAAGACATACGAATGGGGTGTTTCAATTTGACACAAACATTTTTTTTTTCCTCCCTTCACCTTGTCAGGCAGTTTGCTGAAATCTGTGCGAGCAATCTCCCTGGAGCCAAACTTGGAGACCTTGAAGCGGCGAATGATGTCTTGCAAGGTGGCAGACACCACAAAGTATTCCTGCTTCAGACGCAGCTCCTTGCCCTCAAAGAACTGAGAAAACACACACTTGAGTATGTTTTTGTCCCTTACACGCATCATTTAAAAAAAAAAAAAAAAACATCAAATCATTTATGGCTTTGCATAAAAGAATATTTTGGAGTGAACTTCAACATGACATTTATAAATGAATGACGATCCAAAATTGCATGGCTGAGCATTCTGCAAAGAAATTAGTCTTGTGTCCACATTCGAGCTGAATGAGTCACAATGCACTCACTCGGTTTCATCACTACATTCTTGTCGATTGAAATAGACAAGATAACCCAAAAGCAATGCGTGTTGGCTAAAATAATATTCAAACGGTGCCTACATATTGGGTCAACCGCTTTCTGCCCTCACTTGCTCAGACATATATTGCCCTGACACCGTTTGTAGCTAAAGCTTTGGGGTTATCACGTCAATCCTTCATCTGGAGCCTGTAAGAAGGCGACGCGTGGTGGTCAGGTTTTATGTCAGATTTCAAAGGCCGTGGGAGATGAAGACCCTGCGGCCCTTGCGGTCCAGATTATGGAAATCCATCTTTTAAGATTAACATATGTACTGGAATAGCATGTCATCTGAATTAAAAAAAAAAAAGAAAAAAGAAAAATCTAATTAGCCTTCCTTTCTCACATTGTCATTGGGATACAGCACACGGGAGATGTTCTCCGCCAGGTTACGGTCCAACACAGCCTGAATGTAGCCGCCAACGTTGACTGCACAAAAAAAAAAAAAAAAACAACAAAAACAAGTGAATTTACAAAACCTTCCGAGCGCATTGTTATGTTGCAGCACCATAAACTGTCAGGAAGCCGCATACAGTCTTTAAGGTTAAATTCGCATGGCGCCTTTGCAGACCACAGCCTCATGGTGTTGACGACGTTGTTTCTGTAGCCGGGGACTGGGGTGTCATATGGCAGAGCCAAAACTACCTGCCAACACATCACAGGAAGAGAGAGACCTTTCAGATTCGTAGATTTGACTCCTGATAGCTCTATTAATATTTTTTTTCTTCCCCCCCCCCCCTCACCTGAGTGTCAACCCATTTGACACCGTCTGGCTGATGCTCGGTCCTGCCATAGAACCGCACAGGGCGCATGTACTCGGGACGTGCCTTCTCCCAGGCGTTGCCATAGCGCAGCCAATCATCGGCCTCTTCAACCTTGATAATGACATTGCGAGTGAAAAACACTCATTAGGTGAGTACCTTCCGAGCTGACTCAGACCCAGAAAATGACAAGGACAATCAAGACGAGATAATGATAACACATAATTATAGATATTATTCACTTTATGCCATTAGGTTTCCAAAACCCACATCTGTCTTGAAATAAGACCCAGGAATACACCATACGTTTTGGTTTTTTTTTTTTCTTTCCAAAGAAAACAGGGAGATTACCAATGTTACGAACCTGCCAGCCGTTCATTATTTTCTGATTGAAGATACCAAACTCATAGCGGATACCATAACCGTAGGCAGCCAGGCCAAGGGACGCCATGGAGTCCAGGAAACAGGCTGAAAGGATCGTTCTTCAAAATGTTAGCACTTGGATGGCTGTAATAACCAGTTGAATAACTCAAACGGGTAAAGGTCAGAAAAAAGCACACCGGCTAGACGGCCGAGTCCACCATTTCCCAAACCGGCGTCTTCCTCCATATCCTCCAGTTCCTCCATGTCCAGACCCAACTAAAGATTCCAGAGTGCACACATAGGCTGATATTAAGGAACCCTCTCATAATGTAGAAGCTGGTTTAAAAAAGGATAAAACCGTCGTCCATGCACCTGATATGTGGCTTCATCACAGGCATTTTCCAGTGCGAGGTTCACCATGGTGTTCTGGAGGGTGCGGCCCATGTAGAACTCCAGAGATATGTAGTACAGACGCTGTGTTTAAAAAAATATATATATAGTGAGTATGCATCACCGTTTTACATCAAGTACGACCTAAAAATGCTTCATTCTCCAAGTACGACAATCATGAACGATCTTGGAATTTAGTGAAGTCGTTGAACTGCACTTGAACAGGGATTCTTTTGCATGCCACTAGAGGGAGCCGGTGAGGTGAATCAGTGTTATACAGTTGACCGCCATCATTCGCAGGAGATAGCGACAGGGCCCGAATGGAAATAGGATCATATTTTATACAATATTTATTATAATAGGTTTAACATTTGAATATGCAGGGAATCGCGGAAAAAACATACCACAAACGAGGAAATGTTTGTGCGAATAACACGGGAGGGGAAAAAAATCTGCAAATAGGTGACTGCAAATACTGTAACTCACTGAAAGCAAAAATGCAATCTCCTCTCATATTTGACATCCAGTATCTCGTAAAACACTTATTGCCATCACATTGCATGCATGAGTTATCTTCCACCTGGGCCTGTTTAGTGCTTAACCTTTGCCATTTAAGGTGTTTGATTTTTTGATTTTTATTTTTTTTCTCCCCCTCTTCTGAAATTGAGAAGGCGGAGGCACACTGAAGAGCAAAAGCAGAGGGTAGATGGGAAAGGGACTAGGGGACAAATTGCATTCTGCATTACATAACGGCAACATTTTGGTTTGGCAAAAATAGCTGCTGTGGAGGTCGTTGTAAAGGTCAGCCTGAGAGTGATATTCTTTCCTTGTGGAGTTCAACTCTGGAGCGGTTCGCCAACAGTAGTTGTTGTCATGGAATGAAATACTCATAACAGAATTTAAGACTGCCGGAGTTCAGTTCGGATTTGTTGCACATCTTAGCCGACTTTGATTTTGTCAATTTCCTCAGTTCCTGCTAGTCTAATTGTCCTGGTTGCCTTTTTAACGGATACTTATAAATATCATCAATACATCAAGCGGCTGTCACCGTCACTTTGCAGCACACGAGCTCACAGCTCGGTTCAAGGTTTCTTTTCAAGGAATTCACCTTTGACCTTTCAGTCTGCAGCAGCGAACAAGGTCGATACAGTCGGGAGGGTCGGGTGCTTCAGTGTGAGGTTGCATCCCACCGAGGCTGGATTAAACCTGTTCTAAAAATGTATTCCACTCTTCGAGTAAATGTCACCCTGCTTGGGTGAACACAAAAGGCACTTAAGTGACAGAACAATGACTCTCTTGGATGTAACAAAAGGAGGTGGGAGAGAAAAAAAGAAATCCCGTTTATTCTGCAGAGCGATACATTAAATAGCAAAGAACATTTTTCTCTTCATGTAAATATAATTGATATGGCTTTCACTTGGGAGCCAAACCGCAATTTGCAATTAGGTATGTGACAGTTTACTATTGTAAGTACGGGTTCTCTCTATTGGTGCGTGCCATGCACCTGTATGGAGGCGGCCGTGGGTGGGGGTCGGGGTGGGGGGGTGTAGATATGAAATCCAGTGCCCTTGGAGGCATGTGCTCGTGCGAGACAAGCAGAGGCTGTGTGCTTTATGGTGAGGCGGAATAGGAGCAGAAGGTCACGGAGAGGTTTAATGTTTCAGCACACCGTAAGAATGGAAGCTTAGCAGCAGACTGCTAAGAAGCCCTTGCGAAGTTTAAATGTCATGCCCTGGCATTAGATTGTACCCGGCCTGCTCTTATACAGCTGAGGAATGACAAACCCTTTTGCTTGTATGCAATGAAACGTGCCTGTTATTTATCGGCGGGATTTCCGCTTAAACAAGGTTGGTGTTTACAGCAAATATTTTAGCCCGGTGCATTCAAGACAGGTCGCATGACTTTGGTTCTCAATGATCCACTCGTGTTAGGACTTTTTAACTTACTTTGGGATCTTTCTCATAGTAGTACTGCTGGGTTCGGATCCACCTGCCGATCAAGTGGTCCCGCACAGTGTGGGCCAGAGCAAAGTAGTAATCCCTCCTGGTCGCCACATTTCTGTCTTTAGCCAGCGTGAAGTGGAGGTGCCTGTTGAAATTCTGCTTCAGCTCGCTGACATTATCAACACCGGCCAGGCCTCGCACAGAGATCTGTTTCCTCCTGTCATGGTCGGACAACGGTTTGGACATGGCGGCTCAGGGTTGGCTAGCTGAGACCTCTGGGAGAGAACGTTTCACGTCAAGCAAGCGCCACCAGGCCCAGACACACAGATAGAGAGGCAGCACAAAGCGGGGTTGGGTTCAGCTTTTTAAAGGCGCGACTATAAATATGACAAAGAGGGAGGAACTAGTTTGTAGATGTGGTGAAGGGCGGAGCATACGCCGAGTGACATTTAAATCAAAGGCCTCGCCAACACTCATTCTCATGGATGATGACATTAGAGGAATCGGACCTCACCATTGACTCATCAAATTTATCCTCAGTTGGGAATCGCAATTACTGCAGCGCTTTTACACGTAGTCAAGAACATTCAAGCGACAAGAGGGACAAGTGTAGATGAACGGGAAAATAAAAAGGCTCTGACACAAATTCTTACATATGCCAGCGCATGAACATAAATATTGCACAAGGCGTAAGATAAGTGGTCATAAAACCTTCAGGGAATGCGATTAAAAAAGGCATAAAATTAAATGCAACATAATTCGGGGTTGAGTTACGAGGAAGCATAAAATAGTCCTTTTTGTTTACCGCATGTTAAGAAGAAAAAATTGCAAGTAAAAAATGTTGGGTTTTTTTTTTTTTCCTGTAGCCCTCATCCTTAAATAATGAAGACTCTGGAAAATAATGATACCTAAATATCATTTGTTTACGATTCTGCTCGTCATTAGCCACATTGTTATACCTCCTGAGCTCGGGTAAACTTTTCAAAGGTGTTCCAGCCGGGAGACGTGCCGGTGATGCGGATGTCTGGCAGCTATCGTGGCTAACTCATTTTGCCTCTCGTCATTGGCAGCAATGTCCAAGTTAGCAGATGGTATATTAAATCCCAACCAACGTATTTGTTTTTTATTTATTTATTTATTTATTTTTAGCGGAAGCAAAGCACGGCAAAAAATCCGCCAATTATCGTATTGCTAGGTGATGCTATATTTACAAATTGCCGGATGGCGTTGGAGCCATCTGCGTTGCGGGCAACCATTCCAGACTCGGTGATGACTGACCGTGCTTTTACATCATCAACGTCTTGCTATTGCAGTACTGTAACGAGTCCTCGCTCAGCGGTGATTCAGACTCTGTGTATAGATCGCATTCACTCGACAGCCCGCAGCCATATCAGACTCCAAATCATCTGCAGCCGAGCTACGAAGGCCCGCTCTATTTTGAGTTATTGCACTGGCAAGCCAAACATTCGTAAAGTCTTGACCTTCTATAAATAGTAACTCTGACCCAGTCCCAAAGGCCATGATATTTGAAAGGCATATCTTCGTTAATGTCAGCTGGAGCCAGCAGACAACACCCGCGGATCGCAAGCGCCGCGTCGGAAGACGCCGTTGTCGGCGAGCTGCAAGGCGGCTTTTGGAAATTGGTTTGGCTTGTTATTTTACTGTCAACATGGAGTGGATTTCATTACAAGTTGACAGTAAAAGTACACGGCGGGGGGTAAAATTAACACGTCCTCCCAACCCTTAGCGCACTGGACAAGACATGAGTGACAAAGGGGGATGTTATTTGCCAAGTGCCGCGGCACAAAGGAACAACTCTGGCGGATTGACTCATAAATGTTTTTTTTCTCATGGCAAAGGCTGTCAAAATACAATATTTTATGTGGTTTAATAATCCCCTCCGCGCTGTTACGTTAACGTCCCCGCATAGCCAATGACCCCTGCGACGGAGGAACCGTCACATAACGGATGACGGAGATTGAAGCTGGCGTGTCCCTGATTTGTCCATTATGATGAGCAAATTATGTTCCTACATGTCTACTGGCTGTTCTGTCAAATAGTGCATCAAGCATTTATAGACCACACTCGAGTTTCCGGCCGGATAGGCACGTAGTTTATATTTATCAAGCAGAACCTTTTGACTCGATGATGAAAGCAGCGGATTCGGTTGTTAATAAAGATCAGCGATTAACTCACGACAATCACAGTTATTAGCTCAACCAAGCCGCCGATGGTCGCCGGTGCATTACGATAATCACGGTGTCAATATTTTGCGCGAAAAAAAAACAAAGGAAGCTAATTACTATTCCTGCTTAGGTAATGAAGGACTTTGGGTGAAAGTGGGCAACATACAAGAGATACATGACCTAACCTGCTTCGGCATTTTCATTTTTTTCATGTGACTTGACGCTCCCTTTTTTTATTTTCAGCCCTTAAAATTGAATTGCATTATACTGAGAGGTAATGTTCTGTAAAGCATCATGACCTCATGTAAACAGGTCCAAATATTAGGCAAATTCAGGCATTACAGCCCAGTACAGTTCAAGAACACCCCCCAGCCCCAGCGCCCACCCGAGTCTGAATGAAATGAATCAACACCTTTCTCAACCGGGCTCCATGAAAAGCTCTCTGCACCCACGTATCGTAAATGTATCTGAAAGCTTGTCTCTCACGATAACATGTTACATCTGCAGGGGCGTCCAAATGTTACTTAACAAGAACAATTCACCTTCTTGTCGCCATGTTTTTCAAATCATTTTTTAATAAATTGAATCCAGCAGGTTTTTTTTTTTGTTTTTTTTAAGGGGCACTTCGCAGAAGTGAAAATAAACAATGTGGTGGCTCTTATCGCTGGGTTGCAGCTGTCAAGTCAAATGGCTAGATGGGAGTCAGCACAGTCCTGACACCATTTAAAATGCCACCGGTCAACACGCGGCACCTCCTAAAGGAAAAAAAAAAAAAAGAGCTGTTCTAGTAGGCTTTTTCTGAAATGTGTTTTTGCTTTCTGGACAAAGTCTAAAGGTCTTGTACAAATGCTGACTGCTAATTCAAACGGAATCCGGATTTTGAACTGTTCATTATGGACTTCGACAAAGGGAGAGAAAATTCAAAATAAAGCGCAAAACCAGGCTTTGTCGGGAATAATTTCGAAAGTGAATTATTCACTTTCTCGATTGCTACATTCGAAACTGAATAGAGGACTTTTTTTCCCTTGTAGATGAATATTATTTCAATGTAATGTAATGACATTACAGTCTCGCTGCTGTGTAGGGTTAAAGTGACAATGTGGGCGAAGAATACTAATCATCTCTTTCCTGTTTGTTTTTTTTTCTCCCCCTAGCTGAACTTTGTGACAAGGAATGTTGTTAAATTCATGCCAAGTGATTTAATTACGTTGGCTGCTCTGTGATCAGCACGAAAGAAACACTGTCACCTGGTGGTAAATCTTCACTTGAGTGCAAGCAAGGACGCAAGGACAAGAAGTGGGCAGTTTGCACCTCCGCTGCAGGTAAACAACCAAACTTGCGAGCTTCGCTTTCACGACGAGTTCCTCATCAAAATCGTGTCACAGTCTGGAGAGTTTTGAATCACAATTGTGAATCCACCACAAAACAATTTGCCCGCGCTCTCTGTTGGGGAAACGTTCCCTCGGCCGACGATGCTTTGTTTCACGCCGGTGTCAACCGTTCCCTTCGGTCCTTCTGCTCATTACGTCGCACGTTGTCCCGGCTGTGTCTATCCGTGCGTTTTTGGCTACTAGGGATGTTTGTTTGTGAGAGCGAAGCTTAGAAGTGACTGCCAGTGGACATGAAGCGACAAGGCCCGTTTTTCCGCGCTTTCAACCTGACGCTGCCCAGTGTTCGTTTGAATGTAAATGAACACGGAGTGCTCAACTGCTTTGGCTTTGGTGGAACTTTGCAGTGTGCGTCTGACGCCTGCATTCTTTTAGTTTGAGGACGACCATTAAAATCTCATGCCGTTCACTCTCCGGCGGACCGCTTTAGTTTTGTATGCCGCACGGTATGTTTATATTTACACATAACTTTATTTAGTGATTGAAAATAGCCTCCGTTTGAGACGTGGCTGTATTCTTGTTTTGATTTCTGCAGCTTGTGTACGAAGCCAACTCGTGGCCTAATTGCACCAGGCAGTCAAATCCACTGTGTCTCCTTGGCTTCAAACTGTAGCGACTCCAAGTCCGACAAAATCAAATTCCCAAAGATCAACAAATGAATTTAGGGAGCTCATGCAGCCGCAGCAATTTTTATTTTTTTGCCAGCACAACGCTAAGAGGTAGAGGGGGAATGTAACGTTCTCGCTTTTATGGGGCTGAGAAAGATCACATCCCAAAGGGAGGCAAAACAGGAAAACTGCTGATTGACTGAGCGCAATCATAATTATGTGCACGGAAGTAAAACACAGGCTTGCATTATCTGTACTTTTTGCCGAGGGTTCCGAGTCTGATAGTTCTGCCTGGCCAGTTTCATTTAAAATATATCTGATGTTGTGAAAGGATGCGACGTTGGGCAAGGCCGAGCTTTGATTTGAAATGCCGCTCGGTCTCATTACGACTTTGACAATGGCATTGTACGTTTTGTATGTTTGCAGGGTCGGCTGGCGCGCGTGGCATCCTCAACGGGGAAACTGGTGTGAAAGTTCTTCAGCTTTGCGAAACCTGAATCTCAAAGTTTCAAGGGTAGATGTCGAAACTGATGCTAATACGTTCGCTTGGCTTCTACGAGCATATCAGTGACGGACGACTAAAAACGAGTAGCTTTTGCACAGCAAAGGATCAAATCCCGACATTAAATGTAACATTTGCTAAGCCGTAACTACCGGCGAAATATATCCACATAAACATGGGCTGTCATCTGTGTGCTTAACACTTTTGAACTTTTCAACCTGCCATGCGTTTGTGATGATTTTAATCGAGCAAAAAAAAAAAAAAAAGTCTGATGCTATAATCTGCTTTGAAGCTTTGGAATTTGTGATCATTTTCTTGGAATTTCTAAATGGGAATAAAGAGAACTGCACAAAGTCTGTGCAAAAATACCAGAACCCCCAAAAACAATGTTATTTTAATTGCACGACAAAAAGCCTTTATAATATTAAATATGACAAATATACATAAAAAAAAATTTTCAAGTCTGCATTTTTAGATGAGACCGCAAAAGTGTTCTCCCCCATTTACGCACTCAGGCTGAATTGTTTTTCTAAGAAAAAAAAAAGGAAAATACATTTGAGCACATACATAATTCATACGTCATCCTCAAATACAAGATAGCTTTGACTTTATCTCTCGCAGGGAAGGCTCGGCCCCTTAAAAGCACACCTCGGAAGGCTTTAGGGGGTTGCGCTGTCACTTGAAAGGTAAAATATTCTCCCCCCCCCAAAAAAAAAAATATCTCAACCTGCGTTACGCTAATGTTTGGTTTTTTTTTTTTGTGTTCTTGCATCATTTTCCATCCTTCATCTACTTGTGTTCTTTTCAGACTGGATTTCGTTATCGTCTGGGTTTTCATGGCCGATTTGATATCAATCTGATGCAGTACAACCGGATGCCTGTTCTCATGCATTCCAGTCAGGAAATGTGTGACAGGGATAGATGGGACTGAACCGAATATTTCCAGTTGCAGACTTCGTAATTGCCTGTCAAGTGTCTTCCTACCAAGTCCACATCGACTCGTGCCACCTTCCTATTTTGTGGCATTGACATATAAACTCACCGAACACCTAAACAATGTAATAAGAGTCAATACGTGAGCAGAATCAAAATCCTGCCTTTATAAAATAAAAAGAGCGCTCAAAGGGACCCCCCCCCCCCAACACCATCACCTTCCCACAATTGGAGCAACTTGGGAAATCAATGATGAACAGCTTCAAGGATGTATACCATTTGATCCGTTTCTACTATTTCACTTGGAGACCGCGGCATGGCATACAATCCTACATACCGTACCGGAACTCGATCTGATGGGATTCTGGCAGAGTTGTGTCTGAACTTTTTCAATGCGATTAGCCAATTAAAATTGAAATCGCTGCCAACTGCACAATCTGGATCAACGGCGCAAGCTTACATTGCAGATAATGGCGGCGTACACGTGGCCTCGTACAAAGATGGTTCCCCTCTTATCAACCCTGACATTATTTGTGTTATTTAATATTTGGATGATAATAGATGTGTTGCTTCTCCAAAATACCGAGTTAAAAAATGTTACGCAAATCAGGATGCTGCACACATAGTCAACAGATGAACCCACATAAATGAAAGCGCATGGCTCAAGGCTTTGTTTTGATTGTCGCTTTCAGAGAGGTATGCGTTTAACAACATCTTTATTATGTGGTTGGGCTTTTCAGTGGCGTAGCATTTGTCGCGGATCATTTTGTGTAAACCATATAAACAATCTTACAAAAAGAGCTCTCGGTGTGCTGCAGGGCAGTTTTAAACCAGTGCAAACTACAACCGCTATAATAAATGTTGTTCAATGAATATCCTCTCAGGGCGGTGGCTAACTCGTTAGCACGTCTGACTCACATTTGAGATTCAGGGTTTGAATCGTATCGTATGGAGTTTTCGTCCTCTCCACGGGGCTTTTGTGGCTTTTCTCCAGGTACTCTGACTTTCCTCACACATTCCAAAATCATGCATGTTGCTTGAAAGCTAAATCAGAGGTGTCAAAACCCAGGGGTCCGATCCCGCCTCGACTTAATGTTTCTTGCAAACTGCTGCTGGTTTCTTCTTTTCATTTTGGAAGAACATTTGGACAGAAATGGCAAATGTTCAACCTTTTTACCAGATATTCCAAGCAGCTTTTCCCCCCAATCACTTCATAGCGTAAATTGGACAAAAGTTGCATTTGTAAATATTTTCACGTCACTATTTAATTTGCATTTCGGTCTTCTCCATGCATGCACTCCGTCTTCCTCCTATGTTCCAAACACACACATTTTAGATTAATTGAAGATGCTAAATTGCCCAAAGGGAAGAATGTACTGGACTTACTGAAAAACTCACCTTTGCCATTTTGTTCGCTTAACGCTCTAAGACGCCACAAGGTGGCGGCAAAGGCCTAGCAAATAAAGTTGTAATTGGTGTCAAGGAAGTACTCTATGTTGAAGTGATACATGTCAACGAAAACCAAAATGTTTGGACGTCAGGGCAGGCGTTGAGTTTAGCACAGGTTGTTGGTGGAGGTTACCGAAAGTCTTTGCTGTGTGTTTATGTCGGGAGATATCCAAATGACAGTACTGGCGGTTTTTCGCTATAGCGGTAGCAGGGCTTGTTAGCGGCGGTGTAGCGTAGCCTGTAGTATAATCCAAAACTACTAGAAACATTTGAACAAAAATTCACACCATTTTAAAAGACCGACCTCTGTAGTTTTGATGGGCTTGCTCGTGGGTACTTAAACAGCGCCTAGTTTGGACCTGCTTTCAATAAAATGTATTTTTCTTATTTGACGACCCCAACTTTGTGCTAGAATGGAGGCGCAACGCGCACTCTGCCCACCCAAGTGCTTTGAACGCTCATGGAAATCCTCCGTGGCAACGTTGACGCTTGTTGATGGGGTGGGAAGCTCCATTGGTCCACGACGACTGACCGCGCCCTCAACCCGGCCGAGCTACCTCGCCAACTGTTAGCATCAAGTGTCAGGGGAGAGGCGGCCCCCCAATGCTGAGGATGAGGAGGAGGGGGATGCTGCGGAGGAGAGGAAGCATCTTTGTCTGCACGGAGCGGCTCCGGGCTTCCCTCGCTCTCGCTTTTTCCTCCACGTATACAGCAGATAAGAACGACCATCACAACTCTGAAGATTTATAACGCTTCGTTTCCTACTGATGCTTTTATCTTACCTTGATGCAGGGTCTTTTATTTTTGCCTCTTCTTCTTTGGTGCTGTTTTTTTGGCCGGGCGGAATACAAAAAAAAGCAACCCTTCGCTTGTGTGTAGGATCGCCGGCTGAGGCACAGGTAACGACATCGCGCACCTCCCACACTCCAGCCGCAAAATGAACCTTCTAAGCCGCAAAATGAACCTTCTTAATGAGCTTTAATTCCGCTAAAACGCTGCCGCGTTTTTTTTTATATGTGCGTGTGTGTCTTTTGAATGTCATCACTACGGAGTTGTTGTTATTGTTGCGGGCTATTCCAATTCCGTGAGTGATAGACACTTTTTTTCCTCCATGAGATGTCGCCATGCTTGAGAACTCGTGTAAAAAAAAAAAAAAAAAGCCAGACGTGATCCAATTCTAAGGCAGGTGTTTTCTTATCCGTGTTGGGGAAGAGCGTGCTGCTGCCCCCCCCCCCCAAAAAAAGGAGCACAAACAAGAAGGTTGAGGTCGCGTATTAATTGCATGCCGGGAGACATGCAGTGCACAGAGCTGGATGATGATTTGCATCAAGGCTTCAGCCACCAGCCTGAACAGGAGCCAAGTGATCCCATTGTGCGATGCACATGTTCATGGCTTGTCTTCATTTGGCCTAAAAGTGAGGTGAAGGTGCTGCATGCAGGCTCCCTCAGATGCCGTTGGTAGCCTATTTATTATTAGGGGGACGGGTGGATTGAGGGGCGGGTTCTGCGGGGAAAAGACTAACAACCAAGATAAAGGTAGGAGAAAGTCCGACTTATGCCCCCCTCCTTGAAAAACTTGGTCTCCGATGAGATTGCAAAAGCTTCAAGCTGCATCCGAGCATGTACGCCTCCATAGGAAGCAGCTGCTGCCTCCATGTGGCGTCAGTTCAGCAGGGTGGGCCACTCAAGAAGGCGTGCAGTGGAGTTTCAACATCCAATCATTTTCTTTTTGTATATATGGGAAAAAAAAAGATGGAAACACACACACACACACACACACACACACACACACACGCGCATACTTGTCAAACAGATGACAAACGTGGGCGGCTGTCAGTAAATGTGAGATTGTTCTCGGATGGAAATCAGCAAGAATGGAAAAAACAAGCTCATTTCACGCCCAGATGTAAAGTATTTGACTTTTTCAATGCATGTACAATCACTGGTTGCTTTATTAGGTATACATTTACATATTCATATTCCAAAACTATTTTTACAGAAGAATAAAGAAACTGAATTTCTAAAAATAATCTAGAAATAATATTTTTAAACGGAGCTACCATGCTTATATTTTCAGAGCACCTTGATAAGAAACCAAGGATAATAATATAATATAGTGTAGCTTGACTGATCATATTGATGTTTCTTTGTGATATGGTGGGACCTTGACTTACGAGTGCCCTGACATTCGAATTTTTTGAGTGGCTTGATTGACTTTTTTTTTTTTGGAATCATGGCTTCTTGAGTGATGTGAAAAAAGTAATGACGGTCGCTATGGCACTTCAACTCGTTTATTAAATGTGCCAAACACTCAAAGGCACAAATACAAAATGAGAACACTCGCAAGGAGCATGACAGAAGATTGTTCAGTCCGACTACTCACGTGGTAAAGAACAACTGGCATGATGGTAGCTCAGTACAACATAAAAAAAATAATGTTTCTTCACCATAAGACTCAAGTAAAAGTAAAACGTATGCTGCACTCAAAATATTCTGCCAAGTACAAATAAATATGGCACATTACTTCCCACCTCTGTGTCTATGTAAAGTCGTTATCAAATCAGTCAAAAGACTGCTCCCGTAATTCTTTGATGCATCCTACCGTTCATTCCTGCCTCTCCCATATTTGCTATGCAAATTATAGCGCACTGCATTTCACCAGAGTCGGGGGGATTTATTTATTTTTTCCACTGGGCAGCGTTGATTTCCTGTCCACCTGAATCGGGTAACCCGAGCTCCCACCCAGCCCCCGCTTGTGTTTTCACTGTATGTGTTTTGCATCGCTGCGCATACTTGTCAAACAGATGACAAACGTGGGCGGCTGTCAGTAAATGTGAGATTGTTCTCGGATGGAAATCAGCAAGAATGGAAAAAACAAGCTCATTTCACGCCCAGATGTAAAGTATTTGACTTTTTCAATGCATGTACAATCACTGGTTGCTTTATTAGGTATACATTTACATATCCATATTCCAAAACTATTTTTACAGAAGAATAAAGAAACTGAATTTCTAAAAATAATCTAGAAATAATATTTTTAAACGGAGCTACCATGCTTATATTTTCAGAGCACCTTGATAAGAAACCAAGGATAATAATATAATATAGTGTAGCTTGACTGATCATATTGATGTTTCTTTGTGATATGGTGGGACCTTGACTTACGAGTGCCCTGACATTCGAATTTTTTGAGTGGCTTGATTGACTTTTTTTTTTTTGGAATCATGGCTTCTTGAGTGATGTGAAAAAAGTAATGACGGTCGCTATGGCACTTCAACTCGTTTATTAAATGTGCCAAACACTCAAAGGCACAAATACAAAATGAGAACACTCGCAAGGAGCATGACAGAAGATTGTTCAACCCGACTACCCGCGTGGTAAAGAACAACTGGCATGATGGTAGCTCAGTACAACATAATAATGTTTCTTCACCATACCTGTAAGACTCAAGTAAAAGTAAAACGTATGCTGCACTCAAAATATTCTGCCAAGTACAAATAAATATGGCACATTACTTCCCACCTCTGTGTCTATGTAAAGTCGTTATCAAATCAGTCAAAAGACTGCTCCCGTAATTCTTTGATGCATCCTACCGTTCATTCCTGCCTCTCCCATATTTGCTATGCAAATTATAGCGCACTGCATTTCACCAGAGTCGGGGGGATTTATTTATTTTTTCCACTGGGCAGCGTTGATTTCCTGTCCACCTGAATCGGGTAACCCGAGCTCCCACCCAGCCCCCGCTTGTGTTTTCACTGTATGTGTTTTGCATCGCTGTTCTGTTGTAGAATACATCTATTCTGGTTGGCTACACTGCTCATTCTCTCCTGGCTTCAGTAACACACTTGTTTCAAAGCAAATCTCCTCTTAAGTGCGCTCCCTTCAATGAGAGCTACACAGTATGTTAACAAAAAAAAAGAAAAAGCAAACTCATGCAATGCTGAGTGTTTCAGCTTGTCGTATTGTTATATATTTAGCTTGCTGTACAACACCGGCTGGCTTTTCTGTTTGTTGAACTTGCTTTCTCAACAGTCATGCCCCATGAGTAGTGTATTCTCAGCTCAGAACACATTTTTTTTTTGTCCGTATCAGCTCCAGTCTGACACCGCAAAACCACTATACCATTGACCGTTCAGTAAATATTCTGGTCTTGCAGTGGCGTCTTTAACGCTCTTGTCTCCTGACTCACCAGACATCTGTCAACATTTGTGCCTTCAGTGATTGTAGCTGTTTGTGTAAATGTAGATGACGTCAGCAGAACTCCACCAAGACTTGCAGATAGATAAGAGAGAGAGATAGATAGATGGGTTGATACCATCGATAGAATGATACCATACACCGATACCATTGGTTGATACCATAGATTGATAGATACCATACAAATCCAGGTCCAGATAAATGCCCTACCCAGGAAATACTGGGATCTCGTCGACCTGCTTGTTGAATATTAGCACCTATTTCTTTGGCACCTCCGGATGGATACCCAAGATAGATAGATTGATAGATATCATGGACAGATTCATCGGTTCACCGACCACGGTGGAATGTGTCTCCTTGCCTATTATACCATTATGTTGTGGAAATCTGTATTGCGCTTATGTCACTGGCATAGTTAGATCATGATATAATAACACATAATCATTTTTCGACAAGGTGAAGTGATGACAAGTGTGCCGTCGCGCCGCAGCTTAGCCACTTAGTACACCTTATCAAAGGTTAAAGATAGTATTCTGGTAATTCCTATGTAGTCCTACATATGCCGCCATCAGGTTCTTGTAGTTGGTCGTGGTGATGAAGACCAAAGACAAAAATGATGTAATGTGCATACTGTTACTTCTTAGGTGGTTTCTTTAATAGAATTTGAATGTATGGTATGTGGCGACTGCTCGTTCAGCTGGATATTTGGACTCCCTTTAAGCCACTATCGCTTTTAAATTAGCATAGCAGCTGCTGAGCATGAAAAGGAAATCATATTTGAAATTAAGATACCTCACACAAAGGCAGCAGCCAATATGCAAAGAGAGATGGATGATTGGATGGCATGAAGGAGGAGACTGCTGGAATTAATGGCAGGACAGTGTTGACATCGTGTGTGTGTCTGTGTGTGTGTGTGTGTGTGTGTGTGTGTGTGTGTGCTGTGTGTGTGTGTGTGTGCGTGTGTGTGTGTGTGTGTGTGTGTGTGCGTGTCTGTGTCTGGCTTTGCTCAGTGGCTTGCGCAAGCATAGCGGCGAGGAGAAGGTTACAGATATTGTGTGGCATTGCGAATTGTGTCGCTTCCTCTCTATCATAGCCCATCAAGGTCACATCCACAGACTGGATGTGGTGGCCCTGGCCTTTCCCTCTCCTGGCTCTGGGAGAGGAACGGGGCCCGCGGACCACTGCTGCTTCTAATCAGGGTTGACGCGTGACTCAATTGCATGCCAGCCGCACGGACAAACAGGGATTATGTCCCTGGATGGTGAAGACACACACACACACACACACGCACACGCTCACAAAAAAAAAAAAAAAAAAAGGTCACTATTGAGATCTTTGTCCAGTTCCACCTTGGGCGAGTATAGGATTTGTGCTTTGTTTTGTTCTCAAATAAAATAGTCTCATCTACACAATGTAAAACACATACCCAGGAGCTCTGAAGTCAGAACCGCGACACCCGCAGCGTACTGTAGGTTACGTTGCAATCTGGGTCATTATGCCACTTGTTTTCCAGAGTGGCTCCAAGCTTTTAAAGCAGCCGAGTCTGCAAGTGGATTTAAAGTCAGCTATATACCGATGTACTTTTTTTTTTATTTTTTTTTTTTATGTCAGATTTGGACAAAATCAGACGATATTTGGGAAATTGCCTGCTCTTTTCACGACAGGTGTTCAAAGATCTGGAATGAAGCACGGCTGGTAATTT